TCATTTGCGTGAGTGTGCTAGCATCCGCAATGTTGTTGTCACTCCTTTGTATTCGATGGCACACGAGATGATTGATCGATTTTGATGCATATCCCCAGCAGCCCGTGCCGAAATGGATGTTTTGCAGCATCCCATTCGATTTATTTGTTTGGACATGTTTAGTTTGCAGTGTGCAATAGCAGAGTGCATACAGCAATCAATTTACAAGCACGTCATGCTCCAAATGCGTTTTCCCATTATTTCCGTTTCGATGGCAACGTCGTGTTGGTGGGATGGTTTCAGTACTTTTTTTTTGCTCTTAAAATTGTTTGTTTCTGCATGTTTAATGCATTGTCACATGCATTTCGAATAGCACAACAGCATTCGCACGAGATGGATGACATTCAAAATTGTAAACAAATCGCACATGGATACGCGACGCTTTTTCAAATCCATTCGGCAAATTGTCGTCAACTGGATATAACTCAAAATGTGTGAGTGTTTTTTCGCCCTCTCTACCTCTCTCTATTCCTGGCTTGATCGCTCGTCCACGCTTTTTCTTTCTTTCATGAAATCGTTTTTTTCCTCGTTGTTTTCCATAAAATACGGTGCAAGAAATGGTTGCACAAATTGACAGATGTAAATCTAGTGAACATAAAATGATTTGTACGTTATGCTTGAGATTGCATAAAATACACACACACACAAATGACATCCGGACACATGCTATAGCCATAAATTGTGACACACTTCGGTTCTGCCATTTTGTTGTGTGCGGACGGTTGTTTTGTTTCATAATAATGACATTTCGATTTCGATTGAGACATTTCAATAAAATCATTCCCAATGCATCTGTCTCATTCAGTCTCTGTCCCATTCACTATTTCTCTCTTTCTTTCTCTGCCTCCTTCTCTGTTCATCCCCTTCATGCTCTATCGGCTACCACTCTAATCGATTTTGCTATGCAAATATTTATGCAAACCCATTTCGAATTCATTGGAATCTACGTTGTTGTTTTTTTTATTTTTTTTTATTTCGTTCTCTGCATATGCTTTGGGGAAAATAATTTCAGCAAAAAAAAACGACAAAATGATCTTGGTCCTTGTTGACTCCTCGTTTTTTTTATGAAATATACTAGCAATTTGGGCCGATTTCTTCTTTTGTTATCTGGCAACCTTTTGTTTTTAAAGATAACCTAGCAATTCTACTCAACATCGCATTTGTGCTTTTTCTTGCGTAGGCATTAATATGCATCGACTTCTCCGAGATATTTATCTGTGCGACACACACACACAAACAAAGTAGAGCGAGAGAAAAGGAGAGGAAGAAAAGCAATGCGTTGCCTTTATTATGATTTGTTTCTTCTTGACGAAACATAATAGCAACTTTTGTGTCGGGGTCGTATCGTTATTGTGAACGGTTTGATCACTTGTTTCCGTCCTTTTCGAGATTTCATTCATTCTTTTTTCATTCGGAAATTTTTTAGTCCCGCTGACTCCTTTTTTTTCTACTCGACCAACAAAGTTTTCGTTATTTTCAATGATATGATCCACAGAAAAAGCTAATTTATCTTCCGTTTGTTTTTGTGTCTATTTTGGGCTGCAACGACCGATTTTGAACGACCGATTCTTGATTTTGGTTGAATGAAGAACTGATAACGAGAAAACGAGAGATACCGAAATAAAATCAAGAACGTAGAATGCTACTGTAACTTAATACAGCCAACGGTTATAGATTTTCGAAATTCTCTCTTGTTTCCATACGCACCCAACAACTGATTCGGTTTGTCATAAATGAATATGTCAGCGAATTAGCCGAATACTCGAATCTCGGCGATAAATCATGGAAACATTAGAATGCTGAATGCCACCCATAAATAGACGAAATTTATGTGTGCAACACATGGAAAACCTCTATTCGATGAAAAATACGGGCGTGGAACTCGCGAACGCGACGATTTACGGACAGGGTTCACAGTCGCTTTTATATTTAATAATCCATAGTAAAAATGTGGAAAAAAAATTGTTGAAAGAAATGGCGCGCAAGTCAAATTGAGGAGACGCGTGGGTTGGTGCAATCCTTCAGAACGGAACAATCAGCAGCTGGCGAGTAAATAAAAGGTTTTGAAAATTTAGGAAAAAAAGACGCGATTTTTCCGTCGTTCCTTGTGAAATAAAAACCGAGAGATCGAGTTATTGATTTCAAGTACTTTCGCGGGTTCAACGAAGCATAAACAATGAGGTAGAACAGACATTTTTTTTCTCTTTGTCTAAGGAGTACCCGATACCCGAGTTTCCGTTTCTATTTTGTCTGGAGTCCTTTTAATAATTCAGCGCAATCCATTTTTGATTCGACGTCGTTTTTTGCGTTATTTCCATTTTCTACGGATTTTCTTCTGTTGCCATCATCAAAATGACCAATCCAATTGAAGCACGCTAACCAACATCGAATGAACCGTTGCTAAAATAACATTCACTGACGCGAGTATACTTTGTATTTGTCCCTTGAAGCAGACGTGTGCAAGGTCAAAAATTCAAGGGGGGGGTAAAATGATTTTGCCAGGAGGGGGTTTGGAAATCGATTCTATCTAGTGTAAAACCAGTCTCCGAAAAAAGTGAGGACTAAAAAAAAAAAAAAAAGGTCCTCACTTTTGAAAATCGATTATATCTAGTGTAAATTTTTCCACATCGCTGAGGGGGTCCACATTTTGGAATCCTAGAGGGGGGGTAAAACTGGAATACCCCCCCTTGCACACGTCTGCCTTGAAGTGGCTCTTTGCTTGCTTCTGAGTTAATGAATTATCGCTTTATTATTGTGTGTGTACTTCAAATGGCAGTGACGTTCGTCCATTGCTCAACGTAAGAACAATCGTCCATTCTTTGAACGTATCTAAAATTATCCACTTAATGCTGAAGATGGGGCACAGTGAGCGTGTGGCCATTGAGTACATAAGCATAAAAGCATTTTTTTTTCTCTAGCTCCATGGCTATCGATGATTTTCGCCTTTGATGCAAATGAATGGGCCAGCTGGTGCACACAAAGTGCACCATTGAATGTGCTTGACACTTTCACATTGTTGCAAACAAATGAAAAACCAACACCGAGAGCTTGTTACCGAGAGACGCGCGACGAACAACTAAAAGCAAGGCTGTTCGAATATAAGTTTCATGCAGTGACCATCAACAACAGCAGAAGGAGCACACACACCACTTTTGCTATAGTGCTGCTATAACCAAAAAGTGAACCATAAAGTGATGGTAATTTTCGAGTTGCTCGAACATGCGTTGCGAGAACATGAATTGTTTGGCCAGATGTATCATGCGCTTGTGTGTTTGTATATTTTTGTAAGTGGTGGATAAATGGGAAATTTCCGCAATGACCAGATACGACGATATACAAACAACCTGATACGCATTCGACAACAACAACAACAACAACGGCAACGACAACGAAAAACAAGTTGTGTGCTTTTGGCCATTCATCTAATCGATCCTTTGAATCTGCGGCGATTGAAACTGCGATGGATGGATATGTATGTACAGAGAACAATGTTCAAAGCAGAAAGTAACCGTTTGCACACGCCAACACACAACACGTGTACAAGCATGTAATGGCTATTAAGCACAGTAATTCTTGGCCCATTCACTGTTTTTTTTTCTTCTCTTCCTCCTTCTCTCTCTTCCTCCTTCTCTCTCTTTCTCTCTGTGTCTCTCATTCCTCTTCCCTTTGTAACAACCATCCGTAACACACATTTGCATGCTATGGTCTGTTAACATTTTACAAAAGCGCGTCAGCTGTATCAGTAGCCGGAAACTAATAGCACTTGACTGTGTTTTCGTTTTGGCTCTTTGTACATAGCAACAAAAGTAGCAGAAAAAAAACTTGTGAAAATGCTTTCAGGGGCTGGTTTTGGAACAGCTCGAAGCATAATATATTCTTCCATTCACGCTCTGCCATTGTTTGTGTTATTAGTCAAAGTGTGAGCGTAAAAACTATCGACATCGACAATCATACCATGCGAAATAAATAATGAACGAGACAAATTATGTGATAATCGTGAGATAGGCGGCAAATTGCAATAACATAGAAACGAAAAAATAAATGACGATGTGAATTTCATAATCGCAAGAAGAAGACAAAAAAAGAGAGACGAAACTCGTTATATTATCATGATTTCAAGTATGAAAATTCGTTCTGGCTCATTTGCATATGCTAGAGAAATGCTTCAATTGGCTAATGACCTTTTCCATTAGCTTTTTCGTTCCAAGTTGTCGGGTCAAATTAAGCTGTACAAAATATGGAAAATGGAAAATAGATTAAACTAATTAAGCTGCATATAATTAAAGCATAAAATGTTCATTTAATTGCTAATAAACGGTGCTCTGTGATGCGCTGCGATGATCATCATACATAGAAATGGCAGAGAAAATTGATTTTGCCGTCAATCCTTTGGGCGACAGGCATTTGAAATTATAGTTTTGCAAACTGTTTGATATATACGATGAGTTTGCAATTTTGACACATTAGCTGATAAATATTATTTATTAAATACTTGGCAATCCGTTTCTCTCTTCCACTCTCTCCCGCTCATTCGCTGCTCACAATGTGTTGAATGGATTCAATTCCCCCTTTGACACTGCAATGGAATTTTGTGTAATCATCTTCGATATTAAATTTTAATCAATTTATATTCCATAAATCATTTGACGTGTCCTCTGTCATTTATCATATTTTGAAGCGAAATTGTTTGACGAAATATATAATTATTTTATCGTTCAATCAAAAATCCATTCCATTATTTATAAAGTGTCAATAAATTCGTAATGAACGACGAAAAAAAAGAGAACACCGTTTCCATTCACAATGTGAATTCGAAATGAGCTGAATGATTTTCGTTTTTTTTTTTGGAAATATACACGAACATTTTGCCAACCGAAGGGAAATCAAATCGATAAATTCAAAATGTTGTTGGAATTTTTGTTTTAATAAAATTTTGCTCGTTTTTCTTTCTCTCGTTGCAGCATTGGACTGAGGAACTTATGAAATTGGCGTATAGTCTATCGCAGCTAAATGGATCGGCGACAAATTTTCTCATGAAAGCTCACACCCGACTCTGTCTGCAAGTGGATAAAGTGGGCAAAATTACTGTGAAAAAGTAAGTGGCACAAGTGTTTTTTTTCGTTCGTTTTTCGATTTAAGTGAAAAATTCAAAACTCGTCTTTAAACAAAATTGTGCAGATATTGATTTAACATACGAAATTGTTCAGATCTGAACGAAAATCAACAAATTGAAAAGAAAAAGCTTTTAAAAATGGTAATTTAATGGAAATGCCTGGATATTGAAGAAAATTTCATGGATCAATTTAAAATTAAATCGAAATGCGGCAAATTCAAATTCTAAATGCATCGAATTGATTGGTTTAGCTGGAAAATTGCTCTGATTTCCTTTCGTTCGCGCTCTGTTTTCGGTCGCATCAAAACTTTGGACAAAATTGCATCGAATACTCGTTCAAATCGAATCAAATTGAATCGAATTAAAATTGAATTCGGCAAAAGAGCGAGTGATTACACGCTCTCAGTGACTAATACGTTTCAGCATGAATTATGTATTTTAATTAATGCCGTTGACAACATTCATTAACAATAAATGCCAATCCAATATAAAATCCAGTCCAGAATAATGATTATGGATGTATTGTCTTATAGTTTAATATTCATTTGTGCGCGCTCCAATTATTCCAAGTTTAATGGATGGGAGAGAGTGAGTTAGAGAGAGAGAGAGTGAGTGAGGGAGAGAGAAGGAGAAAGAGAGGTGAAGACGAATGGCGAACGAACGCGATTCTATTTTTGTTCTCATAATGAATACATAATAATTATCTTTCAATAATCATTACGATTCCACCGAGCAATTTTTATTTTCGTGGCAGCAATTATGTCGGCAATTCATAGAATTGGAAAATATATGTGTGTTGTTTCGTGATGACGTACATCCGTTCGGTTCGGTTCGGTTTTGGTTTGGTTCGTATTCTGATGTCACTTGAGTGGGCGAGTGAAGTGACTGATTTTGATTTTAATTACTTTTGATCACGTCATATGGCATTTAACGACTTTTAGCTCGTTGACAAATTGACTTGAACCGAGAATTCGTTCATTCGCTCGCCGTTTTTACCCTCATAAAATGGAAAGAGTGACATGAATTAGACACAAAACCGCAATGGCAACAGCAGCAACACATGTACGACGGAAAAAAAACTGGATCGCAAGCTTTTCTTCTGGTTTTTGTTTATTTATTGCCAAACTGAGCTATTTTCAGTTTCATTGTGCCAATTCCACGAAATTCGGTTTCATCATTTATCCTAAAATTAACTGAACCGCAATTATGTCGAGAGAATCCACAATCCACATGCCACTCTGGCTTCATTTTCCGATTAAATGTTGTTGAATATTTGAAATTACGATTGATTTTCGGTGTCCTCAGCAGACCAAACACACTACCACTAGCTAGTTTGTGCAATGCTAAAATTAATCTTCCCATGTCAGTGGCAGCGGTGGCAGTAATTGATCATGGTTTTCCCAATTTTTCATATCTATGTTTAACATATTTTGGCACTAGGTTTCGCCAAAACAAATCGATAGCACGGTAAATCAAATGCATTGAATAGTTTTTACTTGGGTTTGGTTTTTCTGTAGATAAGTTAGTGATTTTTATCGCTCTCACTCATTCGATTGACGTAATCAGTGCGTCGTTAATTTGTGTAACCAATTTTTTATTGGCTCACCAAATGAAACACAATAAATTAAATTATCTGTATCTAACTGGGCACAGCATTTTCAGTATAATTTTCTTTTATAGCAACCAATTGTCTGTCCTTGTTTACTTGGAATAACACGAAGGACAAGCCGCGTTTACTTCGTCGTTCCTTTCGCATGTCAGGAATTTGTCTTCAGCGCAATGAAAAGCGAAAAAAAATCAAATAACGGCAAATGAAATCATGAGAAGTCGTCGAAATCATGAGGTCATTTCGACGTGATTCTATTTCAATAGCACAGAAACACGTTTCGCATGACTCATAAAATTATAGGGAATAAGAACCCTTGGCTCGGTATTTACTGTACATGTTGTAACCGATTCCTGCTAGACTGATGTTTTTTTCTTTCTTGAAAAGGGGAAAAACCGGACGACGAAGACGATGAAAATCAGAGAAGAAACGCGCAAAAAGAAAAAAAAATCATCGCCGATCCAATCCGAAATGGTCTTTTAATAGTGAAATCGCACGCTGCGCCAACCTTCACAGCGTTGGATGCGTTGCTGTCGTGCATTATACCATTACCATCATCAATAAAAGATAATAAACTTGGATAAATGTTTATTTCTCTTTTGTCCATTGCCATTTGGTTTACGATGTTCGACTCTCGGCGTTTGACGCGCGCGCGCGCGCCCGCACCGAATACACATTGGTGGCTCATTAATGTCACCGTTAACGCTGATCAAAATAAAAATAAATACACGTAAATCACTTAATATAAACACACATACACACAAACCAAATCATCGTCATCGTCGTAGTCCTCGTCGTCGTCAAGATGAATCTCGTGTATCCAAGCTAGTTCAAGCCCTCGTTGCTGTGCGACTTGCAATTTATTTCCATCATGTGTGCGCTTTTTTTTCTCTTCTTTTCATGCACCTAGCATGAGTACGCGCTCACTTTCGTGCCATTACCAGCGAGGCGAGAGCCCAAGTGGATGCTTTTCACATTAGATGATTGCATAAGCATCAAGCCAAATATGAACCAAATTAAATTAGACGATACGGATTGGATTCGCATACGGAAATGCCTGAGCGGGCACCGTATGTTTGTGCGCGCGTAAATGGACCGTTCGGTCGGTGTGTATGTATATCTTCGTCAATCGATCGGAAACAGTTTCATAATGCAGATTTCCATCGTATTTGCTATATGACAGATTCATTTAGCAACTTCTTTTCTCTCTCTCTCTCTCTCTTTCTTTCGCCTCGGCTACGTGGCCGAAATAAATTGTCTACTCAGCATACCAAATTTTGTGTAGTTGTTGTTGTGTTCTTTCTTGTTTTCGGCCGAGCAAAAAGATTATTTTGAAATCTCATGGCATCCATCTCTTCGATTTGGGTCAAACTTCCGATAGAAAACCAAAAATAGCCATTTGAATACACATCCCTCCTGCCACTCCTCCTCCTCCTCCTCCTCCTTCTATGATTCTGTTTATGTATGCAAGAATTAAACGGAAACGTGTCAGAGAGAAGAAAAGAAACCGCTGCCATACGAACACACACGAAATCCGAACAGAAGACATTTTTATCTTGAATAGTAATCGTTTGGCGCTCAGGTGCCGCGCATATTCACATTTTAATAGCTTTAGCTCACGTTGCCTAGGTTTCTTATAAGAAAGAAGAAGAAGAAAAAAACATCTTGAACAAAACAAAATAAAATGATTTATGAAATTACCTCGGAAACAACTCAAGACTTTGCTCTCCCCTGCCTTCTCCGTCTCTGTCAATGCATTGACGGTGCGCCGCACGTACAGAAGAAAAGAGAGAGAGAATGAAATAAAACGAAATTTCAACTGCCATGTAATATCTTTCACGACACGATTCATTTTTCATATCTCGCTTTGTGTGTCCCTAGGTTGCCTTTGTACGTACCACACATATGTATATATTTTAAATATAAGTTGAATGAACAAAAACCGTTTGATAATCTTTGTGAAGCGAATGAAAAAGGAGAAAGACCCAGAAATGTTCTCTTTTTTTCCCTCTCACTAACGAAACATTGACATGTGCCAGTGATGTTCAAATACGTGTCTTTTGTGCAGAATTTTTCCGTTTATCCAAGAGTTTCAAAAAATAGCCGGCAAATCATAGGACTGACATCTGACACTGAATCGCGAGCAAGTTTCGTTTTTTGAAAAACAAAACCGAATTCCATTCAAACTTGGCACGAATAATTTATCCATGTTTTTCGCAAGGAAGTGAAGCACAGAGACAATGTGGTGATGTCTTTTCATGTACGCAGGACAAAAGCATTCATTCTTGGCGCTAATTTTACTAATTCCTAGGAACGTAGCTACGTTCCATCTTTAATTACGACATTCAATAGATGGCGTTTTTTGTCTCAGAATATTCATTTTCTCGATTCATAGACAAAGCGACAAAATGTGAGCGAAAGCGAAGCGTACAAAAACTGCATCGCGCCATATTTATGTTCCGTTTGATGGCAATGACACAAGTATTGATGGAATTATGGTGGATTGGATGGAATTAACCTAGATTTAGAATGCACATAAAACACACGACAAGTCCGCTTTTCACCACTGTCTCTTCTACTACACAAAATAACAGCACACCAACTTTTACACAATGTTTTGTGTAAAAAATAAGAAGCTTCAATCATTTATTCCGTGTTTCTGAAAATCGCATGCAAAATAAGAGCGAGAGACATGTCGAAATTTTAATGGCAGTTACAATAAGCGAACACAGAAGCGAATGAAAAAAACGAGAGAGAGAATGAGAAAAAAGCAGCGAAAAAGGAAAAAAAACTGAATAAATCCAGCCATTAGTTTTGATGGAGATGGCTGGTAATCAAAATAATGTTCCATGGAATTAACAGCGGATTGTTTTATTCAATGAATACGTTTTCGTATTGACGGCAAAAGAGATAAATTTCTTGCTCGGTGCGAAGGATGCTGCAGAGTTTTTGCTTTCCGCACAGAAATAATGTTTGCTTTTGCCTTTCGTTTCAGCTGTCATTTGCCTGTTTTTATTCATAACTTCACCAATTGCTGTACGCTTCAGTATTTTTTGCTATGCATTTTCGGTGTTAATGATTCATTATTAGCTTACTTTTATGGAACTGTGAATGGTTTCGTTTCGGTGAAAATGAGAAACTACATCGAGTGTTTATGATTATGACAAGAGACAAGACCCAAGCTCACTATTATCCTTCCATACCGGATGGGATAGTCATGCTATTGTCAATATTGTTTCGCTATTCTATAGCAAATCAAGTCGTCGTATATATAAATAGAGAGAAGATGTGTGATGGTCCGGCAGCAACTCGTCGATACACTATACATTTTTATCGTTTGGTACGGCTTTGGCTCGATGTGGAAAAGGGAAGCTAAACGTGAATCGAGCAAGAGACGCAAAAAGCGAACGAAAAAGAGAGAGAGAGAGAGAGAAGATCGAGTAAAAAGTGCCGAGGGTGAAAAAGCACCAGAAACACTATGTTAGTGGATGTGCTCGCTTTCATTTTATCCTATTAGTAAGTAATATAAATAGAATAAAACATGGAAAACCCAATAAAAGCACATTAACGGAGATATGGAAGGTGGCTGATGTGTCGACCAAACGACGATGCAGCTAAAATATGCTCTTTATTTCTATCACTCGCTCCCTCACTCTTTCTCTCTCCGCCGTCTTCACATGCCAAACAATACGTGGATTTCCACATACATCGCATAACATAACAGAACACAGCCACCACATTTCACAAACCATATGAAGAAAATTACCCGACGAGAAAAGATAACATTCACACAACTATCATAAAAGCAAAACTACCGGAAAAGCGCTGAACGTTTTCATTATTATTCAGATGAGAAAGTGAATAAAAAAGCAAACACAACAAACTACCCAGAGCTACTGACAGAGAAAAGTAGGTAATATGGTTGTGATGATGATAATGATGCTGCTGCTTGTATGAAATCATGTCAAACGAAAAATTGTCGAGCGACATAGAGAAAGATGAAAGAGAGAGAAAGAGAGAGAGAGAGAGAGAGAGAGTAAAAGATTCCATGTAAATTTTGCTTCTTGTTGCAACGACCAAAACTCAATAAAAAGCTCATCTCATATTAAATGTAATAAAATTTGATATGTATGCCATAGTTTCACATCATAGCAATGCCATAAAAGCGAAGTGAATGCATTTAAACAGCGACAAAGACATAAAAAATATATACATATACAGTATACGAATATATATACGAACATTTATCATAGTATATACGCATTAAGTGACTGCATTCAGTTTAAAAGCACACTTTGCGAACGAGAAATTCATCATTGCAATAAATAGCAATCACATTTAAAAGATTGATATCTAGGGACATCGATTCTGATACACAGTACAGAGAATGTGTGCATTTCTAAGAAACCAATTGCATGCGTTGCAATTGAAAATCTATGGAGCGAAAATTGATTCAGTGGTAGTTTTTGTGGCAAATTACCAATAAATAAATTCGATTAAGTTGCCATTTCAAAAAGAGCACTTTTTTAATCAATACTCAATAAATTCTCCGTTCACTTCCATTTGCAGTATTATTAAGCAGTTTGCATCCAATAAAGACGATAAACGGCGTGTGGAAAAAGCGTTGGATGTATCCGGTTTTCCGTCGGGCAAAAATGATTCACTTCCACAGAATAAATTCCAATTTGAGGACTTTTACAATCTGTACAAGAATCTCACCCAAAGATCCGAAGTGGAGAAAATTTTCGAAGAACTGTAAGTTGGCCGCCAACGGCAACAAAGCAAAAGCAAATTGTATTTACACTTATGGACTTGGAATTCAACCAATTTTCTGTTTTTTTTTTCTTCTTTCTTTTCATTCGATTTATTCCATTCATTCGAATGTGTTTGTTTGGGAACGACACATATACAGGGTGGGTTCATCATCGAAACGATGTACAATGTCAACGCCACAACTCGTAGACTTTCTGAATAAGACGCAACGTGATCCTAGACTAAATGAGATTCTCTATCCATATGCAAATCCAGCACGAGCCAAAGAGCTCATCGCCCAATACGAGCCCAATAAATTCAATGTGCAAAAAGGTCAATTGAGTTTAGACGGATTCCTAAGGTAAGGCCCAATTCACAAGCACACACAGAGTCTAATTGCTGTCGTATCCCACGAGAGTGCTTCGATACATTTTCATTTTCAAATGTGTATAATATAATCCAATTGAGTGTGTGAGTGAGTGTATGTGTGTATGTGTGTCTCATTTCAAAAGGACACTTTGAGTGACTCACTTATTTGTTATTTATTCATTTGATTCAATTAAAGTTGCATGTCATTCGATATTATTATATTATACGTCGCGTCTTTTTCGACCAGACGGTAAAATGGGAAAATTAAATGAAAATGTAACGAAAAAAGCACTCTCTAACAGCAAGAGAGCTTGCATGAAGATTTATTGTTCAAATTGATTGCATGAATTAAGCCATTAATAATAGTGTGGCGTTGATAGCAACGTACAACTTTGCTGACACATTTTACATGATTTGTGATTTTTCGTCGTTTTTTCTCTCTCTCTTTCGCTCTCCTTCATTTTTTTCTTCGCTTTTTCTTTTATCGCTCACGTTCCTTTTGTCCAACCCTCAAATCAATCAAATTGAATTGCGCGCCGACAACGATGTAACAAAAAATTATCGCGACCATAATTTAAAATTCCATTTTTTATGCTGTGCTCTGCTGTGCTGTGCTGATGGAAAAAAAAATACAAAACATCGCCATCGATCGCTCATTTGTCTGACGATGTAAAAAAAATTATGTAAAAATCTGTCTGCGTGTCTGGGTGATGGTCGGTCCGGTTCGTTATAGATACTTAATGTCAGATGATAACCCAGTTATGGCACCAAGTAAATTAGATTTGTGTGACGATATGGAGCAGCCATTATCTCATTATTTCATCAATTCTTCGCATAATACCTATTTGACTGGCCATCAATTGACTGGAAAAAGCTCGGTGGAAATTTATAGACAGTGCTTGTTAGCTGGATGCAGGTAAGACCCGAAGAATTATTCGAGACCAACGACCGAAGACATTTTTGTCGACGTTGTCGTTGCCTGTTGTGCGCTTTATGATTGCAATTGCGATACTGTTCAGATGTATGTGGCTATCGCCTCGTGTTCAACGATTGAGAAAGATGCAAAGACATCGAGTCGATAAAATATAATTTACGAGATTGGACCAAAGTAGCAGCCAAAAACATTATTGCCAATAATTTGGCCGCAACAAACACATTTATTACCGATTATAGACAGCTGTTAATATTAATGCTGATATATTCAATTTTCATCTCTCTCCTTCCTCCCCTCCCCCATTCTTCACAACTTTCGTCATTGCCGACACACAGATGTGTCGAATTGGATTTTTGGAACAGCCGAACTGAGGAGCCGGTCATTGTGCATGGTTACACTTTTGTTCCTGATATTTTTGCTAAAGATGTGCTCGAGGCAATTGCCGAAAGCGCATTTAAAACTTCTGAGTTACCTGTGATATTAAGTTTTGAAAATCATTGTAATCCTCGGCAACAAGTAAGTAACACCGCGGCTTAACACCAAATCAAATGATAAATGACTTTTGAAATGCTTCCATTGAGTAGTACATTCGATGATTTGAAGATAAATGCGAGTTTATTCATTGTTGTTCTCTTTCTCTCTTCAACAGGCCAAAATAGCAAATTATTGTCGTGATATATTTGGAGAAATGTTATTAGATAAGCCACTAGAATCTCATCCATTAGAGCCAAATGTTGAACTCCCACCACCGTCGTTGTTGAAACGAAAAATTATCATCAAAAATAAAAAGAAACACCATCACCATCATCATCATCACCATCATAAAAAATCAGCGCAAAATAATCTCAACAATTCAACTACAGGTACGAAGACGAACGAAACGAACAATAAGAAAAATAAAATCGATTGACAACATCCATTCACATTTTTGTGCCTTGTGTTTGTGTGTGATAAATGGCCAAGACATTTATTTTGAATTTTCTTCGTTTTCTCGTTTATTTTCGGTTTCGCCAAATAGGAAATTCCAACAACACACAGCAGCAATCAACAATACCGGCAACTATTGACGAGGAGTCGACCAATGTACCAACTGGTAACGGCGATGCAATCCATCATGCACCAATGCTTCAGGTAAAGATTTTGCACAGATTCGATTATTTGATATAATACGTTCGATACAATGGGAGACAGTGTGAGGAAAATTCCATCTCGATAAAAAGTTTTCGTTCGGTTGAAATGGCCGAAAATGGATTTCAATGGATGTCGTCTGTGTGATTTGTTTCAATTTTACCTCTTTTTTTCGGTATCGATCAGCCACCTTTTTATGTTTGTATGTCTCTTTCTGAATCCATTTATTATGTGATTGAAATGGTCGTTTGGGTTTCAATTGACTTTTGAAATTGAAATGAATCGAAAGCGTCTCCCATTTTCAGAGGTTCGAAAAACCATTGTCATCATTCTTTTGCAGAGGGATGACTTAAAATGAATTAATTTGTTCGAAATAAGCCGATTTGCCTTGTTATTCGACTCGGTCGGTGAGTAGCTACACAGCACACAGTGTCTGCAGTACAGACACATTCGCATTGTTTGCCAAAGTCCCTGTCTGATTTTTTCTATCTGGAGAATGAATAACTACGATTGTTTACGACTAAAATGAAAAGGAATCGAATTTCCAATTTCTATGTCATCGCACCATCGAAAATTGGAATTCTCTCTGTTGTGAGCACATGCATATGGGTGCTTGGGTTTCAGTTTGTGCTAAAAGTACACACTCACATGATATTCATGTTGTGGCTGTCGACCTCAAAATCTCGTTGATACAATCACCAAAATCCGCTTTGCCAGAGGAATTGCTAGCACGAGACATACACACGCAAACAAGCAGTTCAGAACCGAATCCACATTCTTCGAATCGTCTTTATTACCGTATGCAATGACTCTGGTTCCTCGATGAATTCGAATCAAGTGAAACCACAAAGTGTAACCCGATGCGAAGTGTAATCAGAGAAAAAAGAGCAGAACCCGTTAAATGCGATGTGACGGTGGTGGTGATGCAACGACTAGCAAAACTTCACCCCATTCGAGTCTTTCGCTGTGATTGAACATATGTCTTGTTGTACCAATCCGACCAATTGATAAACGATTTACGCAAATAGTCGAAACGACGTACAACATTGGCATCTCTTGAAAATACCGCTCGATTTCGATTCGATTGCCAATTGATTCTCATCTCTCAATCAGCAAGGCTGATTTGTGGTTGGCAAACACACAGGCCGACGAAAAAATAAACGTGCACGTTATCCGTTTGATGTTTCAAATTTGGATATTATATATTGATCGATTTGAAGCCACTTTTTTCCCCAATTCGTGCGCATTTTCATATAAACATATTTTTGGAGTGAATATTGCTATTTTTGTACATTTGGATTGTGTCACTCGATGACAAAAGCTTAGCATTTTTAACCGCATCATTTATAATTTTAGAATGCGGCAAAATATATTCGTATTTATCTAGCATATACAGCCCTGTCTAAAATGCGAACATTTTTAATCGTTCGAAATATTCATGTTTCTCCTGAATATTTCATCATTCTTCGAAGAAAAATGAATATTTGGAAAATTCGCTACTAAATTTGGAGTTGGAAACGACTGAAACAATTCTTCTCATTACAAGAAACCAATCAAATCATCCGAGCGTTCGAAAATATCACTGCCTCCTCGAATGATATGCAAATCAATTTCAAATATAACACAAGCCACACAGCATGCTTCCAATGTTTCGTCATGGAATAATGTTAATCAAGAGACAGAGTTGTTGTCATGTAAGATTTTTTCGCCGTAATTTTTATTTTAACGGAGTGCCTGTGGCGGGATTCTAAACAACGTCCAAAAATAATCACACATTTTTATATGAAATGTAAAAAATTTTTTGAATAAATTCCATTGTTTTATCTTCGATAGTGATTTTCAGCAAAATCACAATGTGACTTTACACTTCACGAAACAATAGATTCATTCAAAATTTCGTGAATTGTGAAAATTCCAAATCAAAGTCAAAGGAAACCAATTCGATTTTCGATATATTTTGTGTGACATCGTTCAATTTTCACACAACAATTTTCGAAATAATAATACGAAAATCACTTCTACTCAACGAATAAGGAATAATAATTGAATTTGAATCATACGCGCAAACATGTTTTTTGGATTCAAATCAAGCAAATGTCAAGCGCAATCGATGTTTTTACATCGCATCGCATTATTTGACGCGAGCGAAGTGTGTCAAACATTCACTTGCTGTGTGCTGTTTGACAGAACTGTCAAACATTGTTGCGGTGTTTACTAGTCGTTTCAAACAACAAAGCGTGTCCAAGCAATGACAATTCTATGGATTAATCATTCTGAAGTCGCGGGCAAGTCAAAATCTCACAAAACCAGTGCAAGCAAAGCAAAGCAAAACGAAACAATTCTTCTGGAGAATGTGATACGTATGGACGATTAAAAAAGAAACATCATATCAATTTCAAGTCAATCAAGCCATAATTCTTTAAGAAAAAACGAACACTTTAGTTAAGAAAAGATTTTCACAAAATATACAGATGATCACATTTTTACGTGAATCAGTCCAGTGTACCGTGCTATTTTGAAACAATGATATTTTCATTTGTTCAATGTTTGAATTAAATTTATGTAGATTTTAAAAATCGTAATTTAAATGAATCTTCACTGCAAGTGAATTCTATTGTTTCTCTTTTTGAATTTAATTTCTATCATTGGCTGCATCAACTCTTAGTTGGGATGGTATTTTTCAATAAATATTGTCGAACGATTAATTTCAGCATGTTCTCACTCGTTTCATCGAACATATCTAGCAGAAACTCTGCTAGAAACAAGTTTTGCGAAATGATCATTCCAAAAATAAAATATTTCATCAAAGAGTTTCGTGAAAATCATAGGGATAGCACTACAATAACAATAACATTATTTGCAAACTAAAGTTCGTCCAAACATTGACCACCAGTGTAGCGCGTAGTGCAATGATTACGATCGTGTATGCACTTACGTCTCGCTCACATTGTCAAACATTGACAATCACATAGAAAACAATCGAATTCGTTGTTTCGAACATCACAAATGCGATTTAAACAATAAAATCGATTTTAATTTTCGTGTGAACATTTTCACATTTCACATACAAATTTGCGAATATTTTTGGACGTTGTTTAGAATCCCGCCACTGGTAATGTAATGACGTGAATTCTTAATTCATTCCAAATACAGATATAGAATATTAAAGCACACCGAGTGGCAAACTCGTGCAAACACACTTTCCATGCGTCATAGCGTGTAATTGGCAATGAGATGGTAACCGCAAAAATATGTGAACGAAAAAAAATTGCGGAAAGAAAGAGAGGAAAAAATTCAATTTTTCCACAAAACACCACCAAATATGCGGACGTCAGATACAGGCGTGTGTGTTTGTGGCTGTAGTAGTTACATTTGGCATGCAGTGCATTTCCAATGGCAGAAGGAAAAGAAGCATTGAAAACAATCGAAATATAGAGAAGAAGTACCAACAACAGTCGAAACACCGACGTTTCTGTTATCTCGCCTTAATTTGGGAGACTTTTTTGTCGTTGTTGTTGGGAAAAAGTTAAAGTGTGTAGCTTTTTCACACAAAACTACTGTCATAAGTTTCTCGAAGGATGTGAGTCGGTGTTGGTGATGGTGGTGATGAGTATTCGTTATCTATGTTCCAGAGCATTGGCGAAAGCGAGAATTGGGCCATTGAAGCGTACATAAGAAAATGTTGTACGAACATGTGTAAAAGTGGCAATTTTGCAATGCCACAATACATGGAAGTTGTGGTTTTTGCAAACGATGTGATAGAGGTGAAAAAATACGTACATACACATATATACGGCACAAGCAACTGTTGTGTGGAAAAGTTTAATCTAAGATACGCGCCTCTCCCACTTTCTCGCATTCTTACATCGATAAAACACAACACGAGCATGCGAAAAACTTTGAGCAAGAAATTTCAAGTTTTTGAATGAAATCTAAATAAGTTTTAAAGTGAATTCGCTGCTAATGGTGCTTGTGCTGCCGAAGCGCTTGATATTTAAATGTTAGCAATGGTAACAATCAACCACATTCAATACTGCTTCCATTTAGCAAAAGACATTTTGAACGTGGCAGAGTTTGTTTTCTTCTTCTTCTTCGTCTCTCGTTCGTTCGTTCGTTCTGTGCCGAGAATTGTCACAATGCCAAAGATTCAATTATGCCACCATTCGCATTACCACAAGCAAATTTTGTTTCTCGTTAACTTTGCGTCTTTGTTACAAACAAATTACTCGATCGATTCAAGCAACCTAAGCTGCTTACATTTCTACATTCTTATTATTACTGTGTGTATATCCAATTTAACGGATTCAATTTGGTTCGCTCGTTTTACTTGCAGAATGTACGTCAGAGTTCGAAGGAGAGTACTGGTTCATCGGACTCGGATACTTCCAGCGACGATGAATCAACACAAACCGGAGCTACAAATATTCCAACCGCTGGCACACTACCACCCGAAAAGGTCAATCATCAGAAAGAAAGCGAAGCTGGCGCTGAAATTTCAGCACTCGTCAACTATGTGCAACCCGTTCATTTCACCAGTTTTGAAGTTTCCGAAAGTAAGTTTTTGCATTTATTACATCCATCGTTGTACCCAGTGTTATCATGTTGAAAACATTAATATTTGTCAAATTGACGTCAGCGAAAACATCAGAACTTTTGAATACGAGTCGGAAGAAAAAACAAACTTGTTTGCAAAAAAAAAACATGGAAACCGATTTTTTCCCCTCTTACTCTGGAATAAAATCCACATTTTTAATGCTGAAATTGAATATTTTCTCCTCTATAATGTTATATATTCTCCATGCTAAAATTGCATATTTAAAGTTAAAAACATGAAAATATAACCCAATTTTTTTTCCATCACTAATCGAATCGAAAACTTTGTTCTTTTTTTTTGGTTCGGCAGAAAAAAATCGCAACTATGAGATGTCGTCATTTGACGAAAAACAGGCAACGACTTTGCTCAAAGAACGGCCCATTGAATTTGTCAATTACAATAAGCATCAATTATCACGTGTCTATCCAGCTGGTACCCGCTTTGACAGCTCAAATTTTAACCCACAGGTAAGTTTTTGCTTCGGCAAGTTATTTTTACTGAAGTTGATGAGAAATCCGCGTGAAGTTGAAGCTTGTTTCGGTTAAAACTACGGGTTGATGTATATGCCACCAAGAATGGTGCTGGATTTTATATATTTAAAATGTGTGACGCAAATTGAATGCATCAATTAAATTGCTTCACTCAATCATAATTAAAATTATTGCTCACATTTCTAAGGATTCTCAATGTGAATCACGACTCAATGGCGCGTTTTTATTTTACTCGTTCTCTCATCCCACCGATTCGATTGCAACGTGCCTGAAAATGGCATCGAAATGTTCTCAGCACGCAAACAGAACAATTCTTGTACATTTTTGGATGGATGTGCAATTTCATCATGTACACAACGGTGTCAATTGTGTGAATGAGCGCAACGCGCACGTACGCACATCGACAAGAAGCGGGCGAGATTTATCCGATTTTATATTGAGATATGGGAATTTCGTTTAGTTCGTTGCACACGTAAATAATTTCATGGTTTGTGTTCGACGTTGTGTCGAGCTGTATGCTGTTGTTGATGGATGCAGGTGGTCTAAAGAGCTGGAGCAGGAACGGTGTTGATGATTGTGGCATCGTTCTGAATGTTAATTGTACCGTGTCGATGCAATGCGATGCAAATGATATAGAAAAAGGTGTATTTTTCGCCCAACCACTACACAGTTTTTGATTCTTTTTCTCTGGGTCCACCTCTGCTGACGATCGTTCCAAATGCGATTTTTATGATTGTGGAAATTTCACAGTGGAATTCAACCCACATAGTTGCTTTCATTGGCATCCAGTTTCTCCATATCACTGAATGACGAAATCATCAAATGAAAAACGCTTTCGGTTGTTCAACGACGACGACGATGACGACGACGGCGATGATGATGTCGACAATAGCAACAACAGTTGAGTCGATTGGAGTGAAGGATATCATTACCGTTGCAACGGATGTAGAATACGCGTAATTGCACAATCGTGTTTCTACTGAACTATTTCGATTTCGCAATGCATAGCAGTACGAATGAGTGCATGCTGTACGGGCAAATTCGCATTCATTGCCTGAAAACCAACAAAACGTGCGCAAATTACAACGCACTACATTTTCCACTCACCGAGACAACCCAAAACCGAAACCGAATAAATAATTGAGTGTATATAATAGCGCATAGTGTGTGAAATTGCACTGAATCACACACAATGGCGCCGAGATATAACCAACATTTTCTACACACAACTAACGCAATAAATTGTTTTCTCTTCCCATTCTCTCTCTCTCTCCCTTTCTCTCCTGTTCCACCATAATTATCATCGTGTTTTATGTGTTGTGGCCGGCACAGTTATTTTGGAATGCTGGTTGCCAGTTGGTGGCTTTGAATTATCAAACATTGGATTTGGCGATGCAATTGAATTTGGGCATTTTTGAATACAATCAACGGGCTGGTTATCTGTTGAAACCGGAGTTTATGCGACGAAAAGACCGACGATTAGATCCATTTGCCGAAAGCACGGTAAGTTCAACTATTTAATTAGATTCAGTTGAAAAATTTAAATTCAATCTTCGATTGTCAATTGAATTATCAACAACATATTTGGATGATAATTTTGATGAATTGAATTTTGTGCGCACACATTTTGCGACTATAGGTCGATGGTATAATTGCTGGTACCGTATCGATTACGGTGTTGTCGGGTCAATTTTTGAGCGATAAAAAAGTTGGCGTTTTTGTTGAGGTCGATATGTTTGGCTTGCCAGCGGATACAGTGCGCAAAAAGTTTCGTACGCGATGCGTTCGCGATAATGCGCTCAATCCGATTTTCGATGATGAGCCGTTTGTCTTCAAAAAAGTGGTGCTACCCGAATTGGCGAGCATCCGAATAACGGCCTATGAAGAAGGCGGAAAATTTATCGGGCATCGTGTGCTGCCGGTGATTGGACTATGTCCAGGATACAAACACGTTACGCTACGCACTGAACTTGGTTTGCCCATTCCATTGGCAACGCTCTTCCTTTTGGTTGTTGTTAAGGTAACTTTTGGCATTCGTTTGCGCGCTTCCAGCGTTTTTGGCCGGTTTTTGCCGTTTATTTCAACTTTCGCCTGCTTCATTTTTCTCTTTCCATAGGATTATGTTCCCGACGGTCTATCCGATTTTGCCGAAGCCCTTGCCAACCCCATCAAATATCAAAGCGAACTTGAAAAACGCTCGGAGCAATTGGCTGTTTTGATGGAAGACGGCGAGACAACCGAAGATGATGCAACCAATTCATGTAAATGCACACAACAATTCACTCATTCCACTTCATTTCGGCCAAGATTTTATGTCTCTATCAAATTTTCATGTGAAGAATGCTTTTTAAAAATGTTTTGCGTTGCCATTTTACATTCGTTTTAATTTTAACCAATTTTTTTCTTTTCTTCTTTCTTTCATTTATGTTGAATTTATCGTTTTTCGGTTTGGGTGTATTTCACTTCATTCGACTGTGTTATATGTGTGCTGTTTGGTTTATTTACGGGATGGGGATGGGGATGTGCTTACCTTTTTGTACGCTTTTATTTTCGCTTATCATTGTTTTTATGTGTTCCACTTCATCTGCGAACTGAACCAAAAACATCATTTCATTTAAACATTGTCACTTGATACGTGTGTGTCATTGCATGCACGTTTGGCGACCCGTACAATCAATTTCAGTTGTATTTGTCTCTTTAGGTACCAAGAAGGAGAAGGGAGCAGGGAATACACTGGAAGTGGTGCGAACGAGTCCAAAGCATCGGACCAGCATTGTGGCCACAACATCGCTTAGCATGGACGCCTCCATTGGCAATGAGATTGAATACTCGTCGAGTTCGGTGTCCACGCAACAGATTCAACATCAACTATCACTGGATGTGTCGTGTTCAACGAGCAAAGCATCGTCAACATTCACCAGCACCACCACCATACCCATTTCATCCGAACTCAGCGATTGCAACGATATGGTTGCTGAAACATTGGAAAAAATCCTGGAGAATAAATTGGTGCGCGAGAAACGCATCGAAATGGAAAAGAAATTGGAAACGATGCGAAAAAAGCATGACAAGGAAAAATTACGTGTTACATCACAGCGTAGTGGCGATCTAACCGACGGCATTCGCAAATCCAAATTCTACATGAACAATAAATTGGTTAAACGGCTTAGCAATAAGAACTTGTAAGTCGATTTAACTTGTCGCACGATGAGAGCACGAGAAAAAAAACGTTGCATTCTCCTAATGTAATTAGATGAATTTTAAACACTTTTATTTCATGGTTTTTTTCCTTTCTCCGCACAGAGATTTAACAGTGACAGTGCCTCCATGTCCAAGTGATTTGACGGAAAGCGCTGAAACTGATAGCGGCGAACGATCGAGCGCTGTACCTCGAAACCAATTCGAACGATTGATTCCGGTGTGCCGAGACTTTTCCACCAATTACCAAGAATTGCAAGAGAAATACCACGAACTGATTTATAGCACCGCTGAAAAGATATTGCGCACATCGCAAGCCAATCAAATGAAGCAGCTAAGGACATGCTTGGAAAAGGAAACGAGTGACGTGATGCGACAATTGAACATCATGCGACGCAATGAAGTCAAATCGTTGTCGCTGGTGCATCGTGACCGGGATGAACTAGTCAGGTAAGCAGAGAAATTGATTAATATGGAGAGACAAAGATTTTTTTTTCTAACACCGCCAAGCTCTTGCTGAATATAATGAGGTTTAAATAAGTGTTTGGTCGGAAAAGAGTGCAAGACTGTTGCATCAATTTATAATAATAATAATTTACACCGATTTAGTACAACTTTCAGTTCTCGCCTCGTTAAAAACCTGGCTCTTTTCATAAATTATGCAGTATTTACAAAAGTAGGCACATGAAAACAAAAACATAGTCATACAACCAAGATGGAAATGCTTGATGGTAGTCGATAGAAAACAGTCTAAAATAGCCTTTGGTAAACGTTTCCAAAAGGACAAAGGCTATGTGAAGCGTTCAGTTTTACACTTTAATTGGAGACTCTGGGACAGCAAAAGTCGTCACTCAATTTATACCGGTAGAAAAATTGACGAGAAGTTTTACGTCGGTTTAGGCAGATCCATGTTGGCTGCAGAGTGATTTAAGTTAATAATTGGCCATGATTTGAAGCGTATAAGGAGCATTTGATGCTTATATGAAAATAATTCTGGAATGAACAAAAATTTTGCTTTTTCCAGAATGAAACGAGAGGTGGCATCGTCATTAGTTGAACGTGGTGTAGCTGAACGAGTGCGACTGACTCAAGCCTATGAGAAGAAAAAGACGGAACTACAGAAACAGCATGATATTGTTAAAAATCAGCTAAATGACCATAAAGAAAAGGTTCGTATTGATTTGTATGTTCCCAAAAACAATCGATTTTAGCAAGAAAATTGGATCGAGAATAACATTTCTGCGAAGTGAACTCTTAAACTCATATATTTTGTTTGATTTTGATTTTTGCTTCTTTTTTCAATTTTTCTCTTGGATTTTTTGTTCATTTATTTTCAATTTAGAAAAAAAATTCTAAAAATTTCAATTCAAATTTACCTTTTTCAATCTTATTTTCCAACTCGAAGAAAATTCTCATTATTTTGAAAACGAATTAACTCAAAAACCATTCAACGTTTCTTCCATTCTACCAGGCCAAAGCGTTACTGGAAAAAGATTGTGAATCTCGTCCGTGTTTTTCGTCTGAAGGATTTTTGGTGTTATTTTCTCAGAATTCATTGCATGCGACCAATGAAAATGGTGGTCCATCGAGTGAGAATGCAAGCAACAACAAGTCGAGCACTTCAATGCACTCAGAGTCCTAAACATAGCTCAAACCATTTTAAAGGAAAAATTTCATAAGGAAAACAAAAAAAAATTGTTGTGACAACCATTGTTGATTGGAACCAATTCGAATCGCGACATTTTCCAAAAAAAAAAAAAAAACAAATACCCTTTGAATCTCAATGCGAAAACGAGACAGTGTTCCAAGTATCTAGTGATTTACCTGGTGGTATCCGGTTTAAAAAAAAAAGAATATATTGTGATTAAACATGAAAAAAAAACCAATAATATAACAATTTTTAAATGCCCAATTCTATCCATATAACATTTGAATCACAGTATAAATGTGCAATAAACGTTTAATCTGAACACAAAAGCAAACACACAGATATTCATAAAATTTAACAGAGAAGAAAACAGATCTTTAACAAATCCGATATTTGAGTAGTTTGGAGCGAAAATGTCGTACAGAAAAGTTGCGCAGAAAAATGTCGATGATGAATGAGCGGAAAAGGGATAGCTATATAGATATCTGTATAGTAAACTATAGTGATTTGAAAATTTTTCACGCAACTTTTCTGTATTACATTTTCGCTCCAAACTACTCATTTGTCAATGTTGAACACATATTAATAAACACAATTCTCACAATTCTTAATACACACACAGATGTTAACGTTGGGCGTATAAAAGCATATGTATTTCGAATTTACCCCGTTTCTTGGTATAATATTAACTATCTTTAAAAAGAACAGATATTAAACAACAAAAACAAGCAACTATAAACAAACAATTTTTCCAATACAATCTCATTCAATAATTCCATTTTTCATACAAGTAGTTTAATTTTAAAACAACAATCTAAGGATAAACAATTGTTCTGTAACCATTTTAAGCAGTTAATTTTTAATTTGATTTAAATAAAAGAACAAACAATGTCAGTTTTTTGTTATTTTGTTTCGATGAACTTTCTTTGGTTTTATTTTCTTTTGTTCTATTTTGATTTTGCCTCCGATTTCATTGTTTGGGAAAATCCAACTTGAATCCTAAGTAGGGATTCTTTCTTAATGCACAAAAGATGATTCTGTTTGGTTCTTTAGTCGAAGATTTCATGAAATCCCATAAGATTTTTGATCTCTTTCTTTGATTGACTCCCACATATCAATAATAATTTTGTCGATAACCTTTTCTTTGATTCCTTACCCTTTCCCATTCTTTGCATGCCCTTCTTTTACCTCTTTCTTTGTATACCTATGAAAATCTAATCCTTTGAAAACGCCATTATTGTACAGATAAATAAGAACTAAGAAAAACCATGGTGAATTGCAAAGCACTCTAGAATTGAATGACAAATTTTAAATAACAAATGACTCATTTCGAATGAAAACCTTGAACGCATTTTTAGAAGAAAAAGACACAGAAAAACATTACTTGAATGGGAACGAACTTGTTATCGCTTGTTAAATGAGAAAATTCATGGTAAGCTAAACTGGATGGCAATTGAAGTGAAAAAAAAAGCTGGACACAAGCGTGGAAAATTTGAATTGGATGAAAATTGAGCCTAAATAAATACACCTTTTTTACTACAACACACAAATCATTTGTGAAATAAGCGATAACTAATTGCATGGCAAAAAAAAACGTTGATAAATGTAAAACAAATTAAAACATTGCTTTTTAGTAGAAACAATTTTAAAGTAAAATACACATAAATCAATACGATCATCAAACTGATACAATATAACAAGCATTCACGTATATTTGTTGAATTGAAGAAGAAAAAAAAAACATAGATTTTAATGATAGACAATCAATTATAAGTGTTTCTACCTGTTAGGATATTTCTGTTATTTTAAAATGAATGTAAGCAAATGACCTTCAGAGGGAAATGGCAAAAAATGGTTAAGTGGCCAAAGAGCGCGTACGCAGCATAGGCAGTTTTCATAGGTTGCCAATGGCAACATGCCGTTAAAATTGAACAGAAACCGTTAAAAGTTAAAAGGAAAGAAGAACTCTTGATTGAATAGAAGAAGAAAAAAAGATTTTTTTTCTCATTCGAATTTGAACTGAAAATAAGTGTTTGACATAAATAGCTCAAATTGTATTCTTTCTTATTAGATGTTTCCACTTGACACAATTTAACTTGAATAGCATCATAAAACCCACTGTATATCCGATTCGCATTGTCGTGGGTTGAATCATCATACAATTTGAATGCTGCATTCAACCATGAAATATACGCTCGCCCACGAGTGACACATTCTATTCAGAACACACATGCTTCTCCGTACACGTTTCCCACGAAGATAACGATTTACGAAAAGCTATTGAGAATATTCCAAAGAAAATTTACCGATTTAGAATCGTTGAAGACACATGCCAATTACCATATTCGAACAAAAGGCAAACATCCCTAATCTCAACTTGAAGATTCTAAATCTCAATTGATTCGTAACTAATTCGAAATTCGGCAATATTATGGGTGGAATTCGATAACCAATGCACGATAATTCGATATGCAAAGATGGTGATTTTGTGGTTGAAATGCAAAATGTCAAATGTCACCAGCATGTGTCTCATTCCATAACCAATATCATTTTTCAATGGAATATTTGAGGTTTTTGGTATTATGTCACACAATTCGTTCACAATTTTATTGTATTTTGGTATCCGTATGCGAGATGTAATTTGAATTTCAATAAATTCCGATTTACAATTGATACGTGACCAATTTTCATCGGTATCCGTTTTCACTATCTACGTCATTATAATAAACAGCCTCTATTAGCCCGTGTTTTGGATTTTGCATAGTAAAAAATGTAGGTGTAATCAAGTGAAAAATAGAAATAAAGTAAGAAAAAACGGTTTGAATGTTTTGAAAAAGAAGAAGAAAAAAAGCAACCACTGATTGAATGATTTTGGAAGAAATGCCTTAATTTTACCCCATTCCCAGCCCTTTCCACGTCAGTCAAATCAATTCTGTGTTAAATTCAAAACTGTTGAGTGTTATGAGAGAGATAAAAACAATAATTATTAAAAATTAGTAAAATAAAACACCAAGAGACAAACACACACACACATAAGTAATAAATGTCCATTTAACTTTTAGTTGTTAAATACAGAAAACAAATGCGACAAATTCCATGAGAAAAATGTTATATCTCGAGTAAGAGTAGGATTGCGGCTGACACATATGTTTGGCGGTTGCATCATGATTTCCTCTTGTTTGCCTTATGCCTGAGAGTATCGTTCTGTTCGTTGTTTTCTCCGTTTTGTTGAAGCGCTGCTTACATCGTGATACTATTAGATGTTCGATGCGTTGTTCAAGCAACCTTGAAATGGCTTCGAAGCAAGCATCCAATAGTTGAATGAATGTTTAACATTTAAAGAATAATTTTCCCAACGAACTTTGTTTTATTGTACGAAATTAGATGTCAAATAAACACTTAATCAACACGCGATATAGTATTGATGTTTTGGCAATAGAGTATTAAATAAGAAAAAAAAGATGAACCCAAAATTGCAACCAAATACTTGTTTATCAACAAAATGAATATGAAAATTTGCGAGAGAATTTTCGTTTGCGGACGGATAAACCACCGTTAAGTGAATATAAATGTTTAGTGCATGTAAACAACATTAACAATAACCAAAAAAAACAAATAATTTAATCGAAACAACAACAACAACAATTGCTATATGAAACAAAAAACAGTTATCTAATTAAATTAGTTTATCGAAATCGATGCTCACTCACACAAGCAAGAAAGGAACTATGAGTTTGTTGTAAAAAGAAAATTTTAATGACAATTGTGGATGATAGAAAAATAAAAATGGTAATCGGAAAACCTAGTCTTTATGTTGAATCGTTTTTTTAGAAGAGATTTACTTGTGAAAAGGGCCGGGGAACAGCACATAATGCACAGTGCATATTTTAAACAGCAACAACAAACACATTTGAACCCGTGAGCATAAAAACGACTTATTAAACAATCGCCGAACAAAACGATACAAGAAAAAACTACCGAACAAAACGTACCACAGCGGTAATGTGTAGCAAAGCGGAGTTTCGTTTTGAACGGTACCGTCCTGCTGTGTTACGTTTTTAACGTGTGTTTTGTTTGGTAGTTTTTTCTTGTATCGTTTTGTTCGGCGATTGTTTAATAAGTCGTTTTTATGCTCACGGGTTCATTTCAAATAGAATATCGTTTCGATGAAGAGAAAGAGTAGGGAAATGAGTGTTCGGTGCAATCAATATGGAGATAGATAATTAAACGTTTTAGAAACCTATAATATGTAAGATGAAAAATGTTCAAGTCATTCGGCAAACCGATGCATTTGATTTACTTAGTTTGTACACGTTTAAGAGCTTTAAAAATTCGAATAAGTTTAATCATTTCCAAAGAAAATATTATTGCAATGCTTTAGCTTAGTTAATGTGCTCGATGTACTTGACCCAGTCAGAACAATTCCGAATTTGGAAATCATCTCAATGCGACACAGGCTGTGGCAAATGACCACATTCGTTCGCCGACTGGATTTTATGGGCGACACAACATAAATGCTGAGTTTATGTTCGTTCTGTACCTATGCGTAAAGAGTGTGTGTGTGTGAGTGTGTGAAGTACACTGTACGCGTACCTTAAGGAACATTGCTTTGCCTTAAGGAATTAACACCGCATCATTAAAAGTTAAGTACTTTACGCGTCCATAAACACGAAATTGATGCAAAGAGTCATCGTGATTTTTCACACCACCACATCATCCATTTTTACGACCCATTCCAGCAACAGTGAACATTTTCGGCCATTCCGTCAAAGCCATCAATAATAATGGAGAAAAGCGCTTTCATGTTTGGCCTAAAAAATTATTTTACCATGGAACAAATAAACAAACAAAAATTAGTTTGGTTAATTTTAGATTGCAAAGGATACGTAGTTAAAAACGATTAAACCGCAGTATTACAGCAGCATTTCAACTAATGCCAACATGAATAATTAACTACTTAATTATTTAGACTAAATTTAGGTAAATGGTTTGATAAATGACACGGTTAATCGGCTTATAAATGGCTATATGTGGATTGTGGAATCGGTTGACAGCGATGATTTTGGGTTATTTTAAATTGAGCTCAATTTAATTTCTAGAAAATCCAAATTGGAACCATTTTTGGAATTTAATCCGGAACTATTTTCATTGAAAAAGAATTGCATATTTCATTGCTCGATATTTTCCAGATAAAATTCTCGGAGTTTGAAAAAAAATCAATTTTTTAAAAAAATTCAATTTAAAAAAAAACGTTCGTTTCAAAATCAATCAATTCAACAAAACATGCAATAATTGCTGAAAATACGTACTCGAAATTTGAAGCTCAAATGAATTTACTCCCAAAATGACATATACTTATTTTCGCTCTTCATGGGGAAATGATAGATATGTTTTGCGAAAAAAAATCGCATGAAAAATGTTTGCTGAATCAATTTCTGCATTTATGAGCCATTTTCGGCATTTGATAAATTATGGAAGATATAGCCCACATGAATTTATAATCCAATGCCAACAATCAGCCAAAGCGACACAGAGAGAATAATTATGAGCCCATTGTGTGTGTGTGTGTGTAATTGTTGAGTAAAAACAGCATTAAGTTGGAAATGTTTCGAAACCGATTTATTCAAATTCCAATCCAAATTGCTTTTGAAACTCAAATAACAAAATGAGACAAAGAAGAAAAAAAAAAAATGATAAAAGATCTTTATATTACAAGCTATATAGTTCTAGATGACAAATACCAAACTATTTAGAATTTAAATAATATTACCAGCTAAACAATATATAATAATATTATAAAAACTTACATTATAAATGTTATACGTACTAAAAAAAATATTGAATTACTTAACTTAATCAATAAGCCCTTGATCAAACACTCACTGATTAACAAACAATTCCAACGATTAACGTTCTATTTTATTGATTGCAATGGGCGCCCAATTCAAGTTAATTCAAAGACAACAACAAAAAAATATATAAACAATGAAAAAAAACAAATGTATCAAATTATTGGTTTGAAAATAAAAGTCAAAAACAACAATAAAATCGCATTTTGTTTCATTTAGTTCGTGGTGGATTCGCTTTTTTCTCCCGAAACATTTAATTATTTTGATTTCATAAAACATTCACAATAAATGGCATAGTTTCATAAAAATGCTCAATAAGACAAGGTAAATTTTGGATTATAATCATAAGGTCAATGAGTTTTTTTTTTCATTTTTTTTTCTTCAACGCATTACAAGAACTTGAATCTGTTTTGATAGATTGAAACATTAAATATGATATTTTGTTCATACGTATTCGTTTTCATCAATGGAATTTCTTCTGTTCATTATCACAATTTCATGCACAAAGTCTATTTTGGCAGGCGTCGGTGTGTATGTTTCAACACATCAAATCCATTTTGGTCCCTTAAGTAGTGTAAACTGTGATAAGTATCTGATGTGAAACGGCTTCAGCTAAAAAGTTGACAAATTTTTGGATAAATTTGTTTTGCTAGTTGTGACATCTGCCATCTAGTTGAGCCGAATGATAATTTTTTGATCTTTTTTCTTCTTCCTTGAACGGGTAAGTTTGAGACGACATTTAGAAGCACAATTATTCTTATACATTTAGCTAACATTTGTTGCCACATTTATGCAAACACTTTGGCTCTGACGGACAAGTAGCGATTTATCCCCAAATGTATTACTATTATCAATGGCTAAGATATTTACAAAGATGTGTATTTTGCTTGGATTTTGAGATTCATGCCGAAATGTCCTTTATATCAATTGTACAATAATTAAACTTAACGTTGACCCAAACGCCAAACCGATACCGAGGAAAGCAGCCATGATTGATGAAGCCATCTCTTTCTCCTGATTTCTCACCGATCTAGAGTGAATATGGAAAATAATATAAAAAATTGGTAAAATTGTTGAAAAAATTGCAAAATTGAAAAGAAAAGTCTTACTTTGGCGCCCAGATCATGGCAATATTGGCCAAATAGCCGTTTGTAAATGCAAAGAAGCACATCAACAGAATAAATATATAATCGGAATGAATCAAAACTGGCAAATTGTGACGCGGTGCGGTGTTGCATAGCAGTAGTGCCGGTACGAATGCAATTCTCAATATCGAAAGTAGAGCCACTAAGTGGGGCCTGTCGTTTGGCTGGAATTATGTGAAAGAAAGAATTTATTGATTTGAATCAGATGAAATTTCAAGCAAATGTTTTTAATTTCAATTTCACCCATTCAATTAAACCAGCCAGAATACGGCCCAAGTAGTCGCCTGAGTTGAATATCAAATAATTTGTCACCGGAATAAAATACACATCGTTCCAAGGACGACCGTTTCCATGGTTTTGCGAATTTATCAACACCGTTATCGATGGATACACACATAGAGTCACCACAAATACCTGAAATTAGAAGAAGAATAGGAAAATTAAAATTACATTGGAATAACAATTAAATAACGTTTCAAAATCTTCAAGTGCACATACCAGCCACTCGGTGAAACCATACAGCCACATTTTATTGAGAACTTCTCCGAAAATCGGCTCCATTGTCGAGGGCTGTCGTTGAAGTTGCAAACGGGAATTCTTTGGCGAAAGAGCGCCAGATCGATCGGTGGTAAAATACTTGAAGAATTTGGTTTTTGCCATTGCAACGTAAGCGATCAACGATAGCACTAAAAGAGCGTTTCCGATCGTGAAGAAAATCAGAGCAGAGCCACGTGCATCAGATGCAAAGGTTATCGTTATTATTTCAACGATTGCCGTAAATACACCTCCCAAAGCTTGTCCAGATACCACGGCCGTAACGTATTCAGAAGGGAACTGACCCGAAATCCCTGGAATTGGAAAAACATAATAATTTTTTATGACAAATATTAAGAAAAAAAATTGATCGAAATTAAGAAAAAATTGAATTTTATTCAAATCATCTATGATTTTAATCAATTAAACCTACCGAAAAGACCGCCAGACAGGATTGCAGTGCCAATGTTCATTACCACCACCGAAACAATGGTGATGTCAAAGAATGTGTCTTGCCATTGGTCGGTGTTGACCTTGATGAGGACAGTGTTGCTGGCAAAAAATATGAAAATGACAACCAGTGAGCCAGCCATTCGCAAGTGCAATCGGAACTTGTGACCATACATTGCATTCAGAATCAGGAACATTGTGCTCGGGATCGAAGCTGAGAAACTCAGATCTGAAGTAAACGTGGCCTGGATCGGTGTGAGTTCAGTGGTTGAGTTACTGGTCACATTTCGGAATTTGTACATCCAATACTGAAAATCCAGATAATAATAAACAAATTAGTAGTACTGAAAACAACATTGAAGTGTTGAGAAAAAAAATGAATGAAAGTCACGAATCGTGACTCACGATAAGCGGAAAATGATAAAAAAAATACGTGGTGTGGATAACAAACAGCTGAGATGAAAAAAGTATTAGGAAGTCAAGAATATTGAAGTAATTTTTAAAGACGATACATTTTGACGGTACATTCCATTGAAATCAATGTTTTCCCCACATTGTTGAATAGTTTACCGCATCAACAAGATCGCAATCTCTTTTTATCGTTCATTGTCATATTGTAATTAGCTCTATGAGAATGAATGTGGGCGTATTGTATGTCTCATATTGATGTCATTTGCATTATCTTTTACTATTCATATCAGGATAATGTCATTTGTGGTGCAAACTCCGAATGTGCAACAGATGTTTTTGTGTGTGCTGGTGCTGGGTAATCTGTTATTTGAACAGTTAAAAAAAGTAGTCGATTCGATTGAAATTGTTTACTCTTCTACGAAATCTCAGTGAATTGATTCGATTGACCTACATCTAAATATCTACGACGTCTCGACAAAAAGTCCCATAAAATCAATTAAAAAGTGTTAAGGCTATCAACAAAAATCTGAATCTAAATAAACCGCGTAATGATAATTCAATGAATTTAATGGCTAATTTGGTAATTTCGTTGAATGCAAATTCAATATATTGATGATAACACACATTCTGATGACGACCCAAATTTTTTTTTTGCTGTTGTTTGTGGCTTACATAACTAGATAATGCAACTCATGACCATTTGCCATTGCTAGTAAAAGTCGAAATTGCAGTCGTATCAAAAATGTTATGAATTGTTGCAATAATTTACGCGAGAGCACACGGTGTACCGTATCGCAGCGTCGCGTGCTCGAGTAAAACTCATTCCGCGATAAAAAATATGGAATTATCTAGTACGAAATTACGCAGCATCCCAATCCTTAGAACAAATATCAATAAACGCGCACAGCAAAGAAAAAAGATTCCGTCTCCATGCTGATAAGGAAATCAATTGAATGTTTTGGATTAAAAATTGTTTGTCTTGCTTAGAAATGCGGCCGCAATTTGATTTTTGCTCCCATTGACCGAGATTGCGTTCTTCGTCGTCAATGTTTTTTCGAACGAGGAAAATCGATAGAGTTTCAACCACTTGTTGAGCTGACTTTAGAATCAAGTCTATATTAAATTTGAATTGAAACGATGAATGAAAATTCATTCAATTTGAAACACTTTAATTGAATTATTCATGGGTAAAAGTACTTTGGTGGCGAACGTAATGAAATATTTGGCGTGGGCTCAAGAAAATCGATTTTTTCCATGTCACGTTCGTACACATGGACTGTCTTACAGATGGATAGTTTCACACTCTCAAAGACTCACACACGTATCGTATTTCATAGCATGAAGAACAAAAGCCAAATTCAGCAAAAAAAAAAATAGAGGAAGAGAAATGAGACAGCAGACGATTGATATGCGCATATTTTTTGGGTCGGAAAAACTTACGTCTTCGGCGGTGATGAAAAAATTCCATGGCAAAAGTGTCGTCATTCCAAGTAAATAGAAAACAATATACGTTAGACTGCATCGATCGTTTGGTATAGTGTTTGGTGCTTTGAACAAGCGTTGCGTATCATCATCAAAATCGTCGGTGTTCGAGTCCAAATCACGAATATCATGCGTATCCGATTCGTTAATGTCCGAATGGCTGCTGTGTCCAAAGTGTGATCCACCGCCACTGCCACTACCATTGTCCGTCGGTCGATGTCTTATCTGACAAATTTCATCCTCATTCACATCTTCGCTATCGCTGGTTGGCTCAAGCAATGGCTGCTCATTATTTGGTGAATCCATCGCTTCGCTAGACTAGATTTTTACAACTAAACTATCGTTTCAAGGTTTTTGTTTTTCTCTGACAGAAAATCACTTAAATTCTACTTAATGTTTACACAATTTCAATCAATATGGAACAATTAAACAATATTTCTCATAAATTTGTCAATACAATACACTTCTTGTAACACATTTTTACAAAATTCGAACATAGACAAAAATAGAGCGAGAAAAAAAGCAAATTTACACGAGCACACAATGCAACAAACGATGTACTTTGTGCTCTGGTTGCCCAGCGCAAACTGTTGTTCCCTTGTAATTGATAAATTGTGATATTTTTTTCTTCGCTGCTCTCTAGTCTCTCTTCTCTTTTTTTCTTTCGTTCAGTCTCTTTATCACTTTCCAGTGACAGTGACAGCTGTGGAAACGTCATGCTCACTACTAGCGAAATCTAATCAGCTGCACCGAGCACACACACACACATGAACACACTCAACTGGAAGGCTGGTTCACATTAGCGCAAAATCGTTCCAATACTTCCCATTGGAAATGTCATTCAATTGAACAAATTCGGAGGTAAACAATTCGTCGATTGTTGATTTTTTCACACAATCTGGTTGCGTTGACCCGATCATGTGTTATCAGCATGGCGTTCATACGCAGTAATTTAAACAACCGCAAACTATACCGAAAACCAACACGATATCAGCTCAGTTTTAAATAAATATCATTCTGCAACCCATCCCAATTTGACAAGCTCTTTTTTCGGTGAATAAAGACATTGCGACAAACAACCGTCTTGTCACATTAAACGCGTTTTCTTGAGTAAATTAGATTCAATAAAATGTTATTACATCATTTGTGAATCTCCGGCGGAGTATCTAGACACTGCGTAAAGTTTGAACATACGAATTTATATCGCGATAGCACAAAAAACAGCCCGTCATGGAAAAAAGGCAGACAAACATTGAGTAAGTGTTTTTATTTTAATGTAATTTTGCACTTTTTTCAATAATTCCCATGGAATTGTGGCAAATTAAGGCTCGCGGCTCGCTGTGTGCTGTTGATAATATTTTTTTTTTGAATCGTTGATAATTCTATAACATTACGTTTCAATAAAAATCAATTGAGTTTAACAATCGTATCATTTCATAGGGAGCTGGAACCTACTCTACCGGCAGAAGCCTCTAATAAACTATTGCAATCCGAAAAATATGACGATATAGCAAAAAAACCAGCTGCAAATTCAACCAGAACTGGCATTAATCGCCAAGTGAGTGTTTCAATATATTAATTTCATTTCGAATTTTTTTTACACCGAAATGTTTGATAATGCTTCTGCATTATTTTTGGACGTTTATTTTTATTTGAATGGAATTTAATTCTTTTATCAATATTTTTTTATTTTTGAATTTTTTTTATTTTGTAATTTTCCATCACAAACATTCCATTTTTAGGTTCTGCTAACAGCCGTTGTGACTCCAGTTATGATTTCAATGGCTCATTCGCTTGCATTTCCCGCTTTGATAGTACCATCATTACGAAATGAGAATGGAACGTTGCACTTTGGCACAGAAGAAGGCTCTTGGTTTACCAGCACATTCAGTATGGCCTCACCGATTGGTAAGTATTTTTATTTTCTTGCAAATTCGAACTTTTTTCAATATTTTCCATGGAATTATTGCAAATGAAGGTTCAATGATTTGCGGCCTTATGATGGACCGTTATGGCAGAAAAATTACATTGGCAACGCCGTTAGTTCCACTGATTATAAGCTGGATTGTTTTGGCAACTACAGAATCTCATTTGGTACTGTTTACGAGTCGCGTATTTTTGGGAATTTTCGGAGGTTTTGGACCTCCAATATGCCAGGTGACACCAAACTTTTGATTTTTGTTTTCATCTAAAAATTTCTTTACAATTTTGGTTTGAGAAAAGGTTTTTTCAAAAACCCTCCCCTTTTCTCCTTCAACAGATCTACCTCGCTGAAAGTGCCGATGCAGAATTCCGTGGTGTAATCATAAACCTTAGTTATGTCACATTATCACTTGGATTTCTGTTAACATTTATTCTGGGTGCAGTGACGAATTGGCGAAATGTGGCCTGGTGTGGAATCGTTCTACCCATTGTGACCTTGGTTGGTACACTGATAATACCCGAGTCACCAATTTGGTTGCTCCGAAACGGTCACATGGAAAAGGCATACCAAAGTTTCCTTTGGCTGCGTGGTGATGCAAGTATTGCTCGAAATGAACTAAACGAACATTTAAGTCGAATCAATCAAGAAAGAGAAGTGGCTCGAAATGCCGCACAATCGACATCATATCGTGACTTTTTGCAGCCATCGGTTTTAAAACCCATCACCATAATCTTTGCTTTTATTTTACTGTTTAATTTAACCGGAACGTATTTGATTATCTACTACGCTATCGATATACTATCTCAAGTACACTTGACCGTCAATGCATATAATGCGAGTGTAATCTTATCGGTGGTACGATTGGTAGTTACGGTCGGTTTTTGTTGGCTGTTTACAAGAGTGAAAAGACGAAATATCTATCTCATAGTTGGTATAGGTTCAACGATTAGTACACTAGTTTTAGCCACATACTTACATAACGAACAGCTATTTCCAAATGAAACGATGAATTTAACGGTGACTGGTTCGATGCTTCTACTGTTCATAGCAACAAATACCGGATTTATGATTGCCCCAGGCTTTATGACCGGTGAAATGTTACCTGCAAAGATCCGTGGTCGCTTGGCTGGCTATATTTATACGTATTTTAGTATTGTAACTTTTGTACTCAACAAATTCTTTCCAAATTTAAATGAACACATTGGCTTGACTGGGGTTATCTTCGTTTTTGGATTAGCCAGTCTAGCAACGACAGCTCTCATTTATTTCGCAGTACCGGAAACAAAAGGGAAGTCGCTACTGGAAATCGAACGATATTTCCAGACTCATGGATGGATTTACAAGTCAAGCCGCATGAATGAATCGACGGTGTCGGGCTAACTCAACGATTTTTATCGTTATTATAACATAATTTTTAGTACATACCGTTTTGTGTACATCCTATTTTTGACATGGACGTTTATATACGTTTTATTTGACATGAATTGCAACTTGTAAGCGTCAATCATAAGCCGCCTTGCAACCGCAGCAAGCAAAAATCTTTTTGACAAAACCATTCCCATAAAACAAAGTCTTAATTAATTCTGAACATCGTGCCAAAGTATTTCGAATTTTTTTTGTTGTAGTTTTATTGTGAATTTAATGTGTTGAAATGAAATAAAAGTGTGAAAATAAAATTGATAAATTGTCTGTTTCATTTAAACCCTTGTCTCTTCGCTCTTTGATTTTTTGTTGTGGAAGCTGCCTCTAAACCATGATTGCTGCTTCGATTTTGGCTGAAAAGTGCAAAAGAATGAAATTGGCTTCAGAACGGATTCGCTCATTTGTTGCTGTCGGCCATTGAATAAAACGCATTCAGTGCAAATCTAAGAGTTGTGTGTATGTACATTGACAAGCGAAAGAAGAGGGTGCAATTACTATCATTAAAATCAGCAGAATGTATTGTTTTTATTGAGGTTTCCAAATGGGTTCATAGTTGTTGTTTTTGTTTTTACATTTCGGTTTGTGTGTTACATGGTATTGTTTTTGTTTGTTTCGTTAAGATTGTTATTTTCATAAGAAAACTACCATTATACATTGATGGATATACAGTTAGAGGTCTGGCTATCAAAATAATTGACATATATAATTTACCTAGTGGTGTGAGCTCCATTCCATTTCAAGCAACTAATTGTTTGACTACAAATGAGTTTTCTCTTGTTTTGTTTCTCACAAAAAAAAAATGGATCGATGTGATGTGTATGTATGTGTGTATGTGTGTGACGAAAAACAAAACAGAAAAAAGAACACTTTTCGATAACAAATACGTCTGCCTATTCATAATCAACCGTTTTAACATTCAAAAAAATTTCATCGATTTTCGCTACCGCAAAATAAAAAAAGAAAACACAAAAATTATTTCATTTCCATAGAAAAAAGAAAGGAAAAATCCATTCTCTAGCACTTACTTATTCGAATCAACACAAAATTACGATAACTTATTAATTCACTACAATTTGTTTTCTTGTTCGTTCGTTCGTTCAAAATCCGATCAACAAAATGAGAGATAATTTGCTTGTTTACATAATTTTTATAAACTGATAGAGTCGGTTACGAGAATACTGGCTACGTTAAATTAATTTACACATTTAGTTTTTGCTAGTTAGAAGAAAGGGCTCGACTTAACATGAGCTTAAAATTAAAAACAACCCAAAATCTAATTACCATAAATTGACCAATTTGCAAAGCGTTTGAAACAAAAAATGGTTTTGCCACTCAAAAAATGTGTGCAGGAAAAAAAGCAACTCTATCGACATTCATTTCATCCATTGTTAATTTTTTGTTTGTTTGTTGTTATTTGCTTACATTTGGCACATAATAATTTGATTTTTTTTTATTCATAAATTGCGATTACTTTTAGCATTCAATTGGTTTTTTTTTCGTTATCATTAGCCAAAAAATATAGGAAAAGATAAACAATGAGAAACAAATGCAACTCAGTGAGCAAGACCGAAATAAACGTTTCAATTATAGTATAATGAATTCAATTGATATTTTTTTTGCTCGTGTCTGTTTTTTTAATGTTTGTTTGCTTCTAATTAAACCTGAGATAAATTGTTTGCTGTGGTCTTCTTTGTTTGTTCACTGTTTTGTTGCTCTTCTTCTTCGGCCATCGTTGATAGGCGCTGTTCACTGGTTGGACTCAAACTCTTTCGATCGCCCTTCTTTTCGCCCGATCTGAAATTCCATTCGGATGGATAAACAGTTTGAAACAAATATTGATTACAAGGACAAACATTGATAGAGTGAATCCCCATTCACCGCCCCCGGAGGGTTGTTATGGAAGTTGATTAGAGTAGGAGAACTGAGTTATACTCCTATTACAACAAAGGTGAAAGTTGTTCGTTAGAAAATAAAATTGCTTTTTTTGCTTACGAAGAACTTTGGCTGTGCTTCCGTTTGGTCGGCTCTTTCGAGTTGTTGTCATTTTTTCCCTCGTTTACTTGCTTCCAAATGGTTGTCTTGTTTACCTCTTCGGTGATATTAATTGGCTTCGATGGAATGATTAATGATAATTTCGCTTTAGAGATTTCTAAATCTCCTGGATATGGCGGTGGTTGGTCTTGTTGCTGAAAATCATATTACAAACATTTACCTTGTTAATCGATGATGCATTTGATTTCTTTTTTTATAAGAGCACTTAAGCCGTTAAGCGGTATTTCAATCGAATAAAGTCTGTTCTTTTTTTATGCTTCTTCCCGTTTTTTTCTATCTTCGCTCAGTAGCAGTGCAATTTCCTGTTTTTGCGCTGTCTCATCGAAACGATAGAACATAGCGCTACCGCATACAAATTGGCTTTTATGGATTGTATGCGCTACCGCACACGAAAATGCAACAGAAAACCCATAAAAAAATTGATAGGCACAAATCGACTTACTTCTCCTTCCCCTAAATTATGCATATCTTCAACAGCTGCACGTCTTGTCATTTCAGGCATGATATCGTCGAGAATTTTCAATTCGCGGTGTGTAAACATGCAATCCAATGACTTTCGAATGCCAATCATTACCACCAACATCAACGGGAACAGAATTGATGTGTAGAAATACGATTTGATAACCCACAAAACCGCAAGACACGCAAATTGGATCAGTGTAAAGATGTGAACACGTTTCAATGGTACCTGAAATGTGCGGAATTGATATTTGAGTCGTAGTAAAGACAATGAGACGGCAATTTGTGTGATTTAATGTAAGCGATAATATTCACCTGTCTCAAGAACAAGTAATCTGGTTGATACTTGACGGGCATAAAAATGATCATAATACGATCAAATAATTGGAGACCTTTTAATGATGCGGCGCCCATGTATAAAAATACGCCGAATAATACGGGCATTGGGATATGACTTAAGAGTGGTGTTAGGAATACAGAGCAACCGATTGTGAGGAAGATTAACACATGGGTCACACGTTGCTCTCGAACGCCTAAGAATTGCGGCTTCTCACCCGGGGCTGCACATTCTGATTCTAATTTTAATGAATTCACGTGATTTATACTCAATACCGTTGCAGCGACAAACCTTTAATGGAAAAAAAAATCAGCAAAAAGTTTTAGGCCATTTTAGTCATTTGCTTTTTAAATGAGGCAATCAAAGTGTTCAACTCACCATGGCAGTCCGAATGTGGTGCAAATCTGAATGAGAATTGCCAATACAAATAAATCCAAATGATAGCCACATCCTTTTTTCAATTTATTCTCTTTGCGATTCACGATGACTGCGGTAATTTGTTGGTCCATAAAGATGAGGATGACACCGAGTAGAGCGGGGAAAAATGCAATTATCCACCACCAAAAGTGATTTAAAAATGGATTGATTAACCATCCACGCGTGCCCAGTGTTGGCTTAAATTCAGACGGTACATCTAGTTTTGGTGTTGGAATGTCGACGCAATAATCCAATGTGGTCATTGAGAAAATGGCAATGATTACGGCAAAATCACTGATTAATTGACGGACCTAGAAGGAATTGGGAAGAAATTTTCGATATTAGGTAATTTGTAACAGAAAATAAAATAAAAGCTTCTACTACGATTCACAATAGGCAAAAGCAGGCAAAAGGATAAAACGTTTACCTTTGACGGGAAAAATAGAGCATTCTTGAAATCTTTCAGAATGATTGATGTGGTGAATGTGCCAAAGAACAGCAAAGTGGACATAAGGAAAACATTTGGAACTGGCTCCGTCTTATCGCAATCCATACCGACACGTGTTCCATTGAGTGCCTGTCAAACATAATCAAGTGAATTTCGGAAATTTAATAAAGACTTTAAATGGTTCGATTCATCCAAAGTTACTTACATGGCATTGGGGGCCATTGTATTTTGCCCAGCTGAAGTCATTTTTGTCGTATGGTGACTGGCAAACACAATCGTACACCTCATGTGATGATTCAATAGGATATTTATCGCCAATCGATATCACGTTTTCAACCGCCTGCGAACAAGATTAATCGATTAAAAATGTGTTTGATTTTTTTTTTGCTGTCAAATTTAAAAGGGTAACAATAACTTTTTTCCTCAACACACTTTTTTTTCCATCGATTCCAATTTTCACTTTTTTCTCTTTTATGATTTTGCTCTTTTTTTATTTTGAAATATTTTCGTCATTAAAATCAATACACACTTATTGTTTTCACATCGATACCCAATAACCACTCAATATGTGAACCATTGATTTTACTGTGGCAAAAGTCAACCACGATAGAATCAATAGAGGTGAATCATTCGAAAATGTGAATTGATTTTTCACATTGAAAATTCGCCGAATTTTGTGAATGAAATCAATACCAACCAATGTAAAATACCTAGATTAACCAATCAATCAATCAATCAATGTAATTAACATTACCTTGTAGATAAAAATGAAAGCAATCAACGTGGCAAAGTTCTCTTCGGTGAAACGTGTTATGTAGCACACCAGAGCGCTCGCATCAATAGCAACCATGATGATGAGTATGACTGTAATCCATGTGCCGATCCAAAATCTGTAAAATAAAACCAAATCATTGCAAACTCATTAATTAACGTTATTCAAATCGGCTTGAATAATGTATTTCAATGCGCCGAATTATAAGTATAATAAATAAGTGCTTTTAACTATATCTATAGCTTGTAGGTAGGTTTACCTGAATGACATATAATCCAGTTCAAAAACGAGGCAAAATTTGAAAACGATCGTTTCAAACACCAACACAGGACCAGTAGAGCCCAAAATAGTCAAAGGTTGTCCAGAGAAGAAGCCATATCCTATGCCACATACAAAACCTGATACTAAAGACTCCATGGCCGCCATATTGTTTCCTGTTGCCGCTCCGAGCAATCCACCAAATGTGATGATTGGCGACAAACAGGCGAAATATAAAAATATCCACGATGCAATGCACTGTGAGCTGAGGGCATCTTTGAAATCGGACACGTAAAACGGGACTTTGCGTCGCAAATCATTTTTTAAACCACCAAATAAGACACCCGTTCGTACTAAGCCCGATTTTTCTCTTAACCGTTGCTCGTCTTCCTCATTGTGCTCTTCTTTTGCACTGGGCTTTTCTGGCGGCCGCTTGCGTACTTCTTGTGATGGAATGGCTGCTGGTGGTTCAATTCGAATGGTTGGATCCCATTCACCTGGCGGTAATACTGTGACAGCGTCCAAAAACTCATCAACAGCAGCCAAGAGGTGATCACGTTTCTTAGCTCGATAGGCAACCTCATGAAATATTTCATCGGACATCAAAGTTGCCATAGCACGACCAATTTCATGGAAACTGTCATGACTTCCCACGGGACCGAGCAAAATGAACAGGAATCTTTTGAGAGGAGAGAAAAAAGGACGCATTTTTTGACATTAACATCACTGATTTTTTGCTTCAAAAAAAGTTTTTTCTTTAAAGATTTTGTTTTCTTCAAACAAACTCTTTACATGATTTTTACCTAGTTGGAATCGGAACCTCAGTTAGGTCACCCATAATCGATGCTTTGTTTAGCCGCAAAAATGCAGACAGTGTTTTATCCAAAAATTCCACTTCGCCGACCAGAATGTTGCTGGCCTCGGCACCAGGCGGGATTTTTTTCATAAAATGTGTATTGACTTTGTGCGGATCACCATTTTGTAACTCAGAGGAACTAGCATTACGTGGCATTGACATGATGCTCGGACTTTTTACCATTTCATCTCCTTTTTCGGTGTCAAATATCATGGAAAATAAAGTGCCATTGGCATAATTAGTTTTTATTCAAACCGAACCCCACGTCAATCCAATTAAACCATATCATATTCCATACATAGAGGCTAATTATGGTTCGTGCATAAATATTAAAAAAGTTCAACAATTCATGCATATTCGAAAGCAAACGGAAAAGTTTTTCGTTTCCATTTTTTAAAGCTTGGAAACGAAAAAAAAAAATAATTATCAGCGACAAAAAACTGGGAAAATTGCTATAAATTCTAAGAAAACATGCATTCGTTCAAAAAAAAAAGCTGCTCTCAAAAGGTTACTTTTTACTGCAGTAAAGCAATCAAATCGTATTTTGTATTGTTGATTTCATTTTCAACTATTTGGCAATCTCTATAGGCAGAAAAAAGCAGGCGGAAAGTTCAATTTACAAAAATTGTGTTCACAATTCGCACATGGGTAGCAATCAATAAATTTATATTTTCCCAAGACAGAAACAAAAAGAAAAAACAGTCTAACTAGATCCTTTATATGGAAACATCGTGCACATCGAACGGTGTTTGTGTTTTACCCGATGAAAAGCTGCCCATTTGAGCACTTTGACCAGGAACCATTAAAAATTTCATTCCATTTGTGCTGTCGGCATTTGTGATCGCCGGTGAAAATGCGTTTGATGGTGATGGCGTTAAGCCTTGCTTGGTGTTTGCACCATTTTGTTGATCGTCTATCACTAGAATAAGCAATTTCAAAGAACAATTTGTTTTCCATTTAAATTCAAAAGGTATCTGTGTGGATTTTAAAATTGTATATCGCTATATACACATATTTATCGAGAATATCGGATGGAGGAAAAACTAGCATTTATACGTGGCATTGGGAACATGAGAGAATTATATCGTCGTAATCGTTATGTTTTTGTAACACGGGCGAAGTAATCGGTTTTTTCTCTGTACAAGGATCAATTCGATGATAAAAATAAAAAAAACTCACGGCATGTGTGCATTAAATTTTGATGAAATCAAAAGTATTTAAATTCCACCCAAAAAACCAAATGAACCAAAAAAGGAAATTAAACAACACGACCAATTCAACGTAAATAGAAACAGTAAGAGTTTGTAAATAGAAAATCGATAGGTTCAGTACAATGTCGGCGACGATGACGCCGTTTATTTGTGGAACAGGTAAATATTGACTTAATTGTAATAGATTCGTGAGCCAAGATAGAGAGAGAGAGGCAAATGTGTACACAGGAGAAAAAAAAGTTTCAACAGTCTCATAGCAATTTTTGTAATGATGCGATAAAATAATACGAAATTGGTGCGCGGTTTTTCTTCACCGGTCCGAAAATGTTTGCGCTGTTGTCATGAGGTCAAAAAAATGGAATCGTTTTTTTCGGTCAAATTATTATTAACATAACCTGCCTAAACACGCACATTGTAAAAAGTTGGATGAACGACAAAAAAAACTGTCGGATGTGAATAATCAAAAGTACTTTTTTAGGATTTATTATGAGTGTGTGGGAAGAAAACTCAATCGAGATCAAAAATATAAGAGTTGCCGTGTATAAACACGAATGCATAGAAAAATACCATAACTTTTAGACATTCGAAAGTTGAGTTTGTAAATAATTGATTAGTAAAAGGACTTTTAGACAAGTAAAAGAACGAACAAAGTTAATGTGTCGTTTGCAAGTTGTGAATATTGAATCAAAACTTTTGATATTCTTCGAAAATAAACGCTGAAAACGGAAAATGAACGAAAATGAAACTTTTCATCATATATTGATAGAAAAGTTGCTTCAATATACCATATTCCCTTGAAAATGATTTCTTTTTTCTCTTCATTTTGCGCTAGTCTAGATTGTCATCCATTTTTTTCCATTAACTATTCTATTCCGGTATTGGTAATAAATTCTGTATGTTGTCGAATCATCAAATATCAACTCAGCGACACTATTTCTGATTACTCTTCCTAATTTATATTTTTAATCAGTGTTTCAAACAATTTCCAATTATTTTTTACTTTCTATCATTTCAACATTATTTCCCCTGGTTACAAAATATACTTGACTTTTTGGTTGTGACTGTCGATTCTATTTTATCATTTCATACTCGAACGGAAATGTTCTACAGCGAACTATTCAATGTTGTTCAAACAATTACACACCAATTAAGCGAAAAGGAGAAAGAGAGCGTTTCAGAGTTAAAGGAGTGATAAGAATCTCAAAATAGAAATTTTCCTTAATAAAATGCTTTATATATTATGTACAAGAAAAACGAATCGAATGGAAATGTCTTGCGAATAAGATAAAGAGAATTTGTGCATTGTGTTTGTTCACGATATATAGAAAGAAAATCCCTTGGAAAAATAGTAAAAAAGAGAGACAAATAAACAGAAACATGGAGAGAGTGAAAAAAGCGTGGTTTAAAACCTTTGGCTGCCATCTGAGTCATGGATGATGACGATATGCTTGCATTGTTTGCGCTGTCAGCGCTAGTGTTAGCGCCATTAGTACCCGCATGAAACCATGTTGTAACACCAATGTTGCTCAATTGGAATGTATTCATGTCACCTGAAAAATCGTCAAAATTCGACGACCAAATCAAATTCGAGACAAGAACAAAAAATGCTCATTTTTATCAGGAAATTTGCATCATTTTTGAACCCATGGCATTGTGCCGTTAAAATTCGTTGTAAATTTATTTCCAAACAATACAAATGGTTATTTCCAAAACGCAGTGCCACTTTGAAATAGGGTGGTCAAAGTATTTTTGATGGTTGAGATTGGGATCCGAAAAAAATCATAATACAGAAAAAAATCGATTCGCATTCACTCACGAAACAATTACGAATTACCCAAAATTGTATGTCACTGGGGATTGTGAGTTGTGTGTGTATAGAAATGCAAAATCAAAACAAACGCAGCGATTCAAATGAAAGCACCGAACTAAAATCAAACGAAAAACCAACCAAAAATCGAAATATAGCCAAAAATGAAGGTGAAAACCGAAAACTGTATAAAGCGGTAAACATTTAAGGAGTGTCGAATTGAGTGATGTGATAAATAAATGTGGCGCAAAAGGCGTGACTCTACTCAGATTAGCATGTTTGCATGTTCCAACGAATTGCAACCGTTCGGAGTGTTGTTACTATATTTGGCGTTTCTGTGGAATATTCGTGAGTGTGTGTGGTGAACTTGTGTAATGGCTTGATTCGGATGTGGATTATGACTGTTATTAAACTAATTTCAATTGTCGCCGTTCGAGTTTGATTTGTGTATGAGTGAGTGAGTGAGTGAGTGTGTGTGTGTGTGTGTGTGTGAGCGGCTGTGTAGTGTTTGGTAATACAATTACGATGTGAGTGTGTGTGTATGTGATTTCTGTCGTCTGGATTCGACTTGAATGATGCATGTCATTGAGGATGAATGAGTGGTTGTCGTGTGTAATGGTGTTCTAAATCCCTTCTGTTTGATTTTCAAATGTATGCTACAATGAGTGGTGGTACATCGATCGAGAGAGAGCGAGAGACACACACGACACACTAATGTAATCATTCATGTACCTGTTGTTGGAACAGCGAGATATAAACCACGTGCATCTTTTTTAGAGCCACTCAATTGAGTAGTTTGTGGTGATGGAATGATGTCATCAATACCAGCCGTTGTATCGACCAAATGTAATGAATATGAAGATGTGGCCGGCTTGTTGGTCGTCTGATGTAGGTCTGAGCATGCGATAGATTTGCGAATTTTCGATTTTAAATGATTGATTTTTAGTATTTGGATTTTAGTCATGAGTGAGAGATTTGATTAATGTTCACGCGCCCAAAATGAAAATAAATTGATATAGTTTGGATAAGTTAAATGTTTCTTTTTTAGTTGGAAAACGAAAATCAAGACTACAAAATGCAAGAAAATGATTAATAACTCAATGAAAATGCTAAAAGAAATGAAAAAAAGTTTCAAAAAAGTGAAAAATAGAACGAAACGAAATGGACCTACGGAATGGGATGAACGATTTTCGACTTAATATGCAAAAACGCTTGCACTTCACTTACTTCAATGCAGATAAACAGAACGTTTTTGTTACTTGACAAAATCAAACGGAAAACAAGTGTCATGTTCTGAACAAAATTCTCGTGAGTGTGTGTCAATGGCATGAGGAAGAACAAAAGATATAAAATGAGTGTGGATTCAACATACTTTTTGATGATGAATGGTTGCGTCCAATTTCAGCAAGATTCCGTATGATAGGCAATCGGCTCATGTTATCTTTCTTCTTGGCTTCACGTTCGTGCTGATGTCGATGTCGAAGTAACAAAGCTTCGCGTACTTTTTCCCTACTTGCAAATGGCAGTGAGCCAGCGTTCACCATGTTATCACAAACTAAATCGGCAATTTCTTCCAGATTGCTCGCTTCCATGTCCAGCATAACTGTTCCGTTAGTCAGTAAGCTGCGTAGCTCAAATAATGAATGTAATGATAATGTAGCCACATGCGGTTTTGACCAACGATCACCGCCCTCTTCCACATCCTCTTCGAATTTAACCCATCGTGCCGTTTCTTTCCATTCAATCTCATCGCCATCTTTTACCAGCTCCTCCATTTCGGAAAACAGCGGGTGCGACTCGTGACCAGCGTCATCAACATCTTCGCCAAGAATAAACTGCACGCGATGAGCGGGTGGAGTCACTGCAACAACAAAAACCGAAAAACATTTTCATCATAAACAGAATTACGTACTTGAACAAATTCCATGACGTGCAACGTTACTTTTACAGAAATAACTGTGAAAGCTTCAAAAAAATTACAGAGGGAAAAATGAAGCAACAAAACAAAAACCAAAATTTTCACTTCAAATGAAAATTGTTCGCTCAAAGTGAAAATATTTTCTTGATTTGGAAATGGTTCGGTTAAATACTCAATTAAATTGAACGAAACTCTTGTGAAATTTTCCAAGAAATTTAAAACTCAAAATTAAATTGGCAGCTGGATTCAATCGTAAGTCCAATCGATAGACGAAGTAGATATGGTGATATGGAAAGTATGTTTCACGTTGAAAACCTAAGCAAATTATAAATACACTCTTGTGCAAATGATTGAACAGATGGAGAAAAGAAAAACGAAGACGAAAACGAAAGTAAGAGCGTTGCCTATCGCAAAGCATTTTGTGTAATATGATTGATAGCTTTGTCCTTACACACTGCTCCTTCTTCAGTAATGCTAACACGGCGACGCGTAAGTCCGATAACTGAATTTGACCCTGTGATAAAGTACATATTCATACGGTTATGCAATACACAGAGAGGAAAAAGATGTTATTGTTTCCAAACGAAACGGATTGAGTCATTGTTTCAGTTGTCTGTTTTTTAATACTCTTAATTTTGTGATTGTTTTGACTAGGATGTACAAATTGGTGCATTGTTTTTTAGCAATTTCTACTCACGTGGTCGGTCATATTCGGAAACTTTATCGCCATCTCTGTGATGATGCTTGTGTCGGCGATGTGAATGTCTACGGCTGTTTGGCATGTGCACTCCCACGAACACCGAGTGGGCTCGATGACCTAAACGCACATATTTATTGAAAACAAAGTTATAGTGCCGTAATACATTTTAAATGTAAGACTCCTGCCACATTGTGATCAATGCCATCTCTAAACCAACTCATTCAATCATTGAATATTTCGTGCAACTTTTATCAATCGTGTGTGGCTTTACTAGAATATATTCAACTTTACGGTGAGACTAACAGCTGCTCTGTGAAGTATAACTTCACACTAGGCAATGCACACTGATATTTTGCAATGATTACTTGATGCATTTTTCAAAATACTGTGATTTTCATAATTTCGGTCTATGATGTGTGTACAGAAAAGCTGTAAATGTCGCCGTAAAGTTGATTACAATCTAGTCAAGCTCGAAATATTCAATGAATCAATGTGTTGGTTTAGAGATTTCATTGGCTGTCTTTATGTTGTTCTGGCAATATCGTTATGATTGATGAAAATTATGTTATTCTTCATTTTATTGAACACTTGTTCTGTTTTATTTCTCTTGTTTCATTCAAACGACCATTACCTTCATAATCTCGTTCGGTGTATCTTTGGCTTAGGACGCCCGGATCTTTGGGTGCTTCTGTGTCATTATCCATTTTCCAAGGTCTGCTATAAAGTTAAGAAAATAAAGGTAAGTGCTTTTTTCATGTAAAGCTTTTTTTTAACATATCGCTTGAAGCAACAATGTTTCTCGGCACGAAATTCCGTTAAACACGAACTCGACTTTTGTATTTTATCTTCATTTAAAGTCCACATTTTTTGTGTATTCAAAAAAAACACGTTAGTAGACGAAAGAATAACCGTTTTTCGATGTTAAGTATACTTGTAGCCACCACAAATCTGTTTGAATAATTCTACTGCATTTAGCGTAGGATTTTTGTTCATGGCCCTCACACTTTTACATCCAAAAGATAACATTTTGCTAGCACGTTTTTCTTTATATAATAAAACCATTACTTTCAATGTTATGACATCGTGTGTCATAAAAATTAGTTGTGCGGATGTTTCACGTAAACGATTAACGTTGCAAGCCATTCGCTTGCTATCTAATGAGGAAGCTGGCATTTAAGAAAACATTTTAACGTTACACTCGATTAGAATGAAACTCTTCGATCGGCACACACACACACACACACACACACACACACGCTCGGCCATTTGTTCAACCCTGAGCTATTAATTCAGTTCTTTTTTAATTGATTCACTCTTTTCGACGATAATTCAACTCAAGAACTCTGGTATTGATATGCAAATTTCAACAGCTCATCCGCCAAGGTTTGAATATTTAAGATCTGTTTCAATCTTAAGAAGTGGTCGAAAAAATTCACCAATTTTTTTCACTCATATCGGTTCAATTCGATACAAACGCGAAATGACAATTTTAATTACTATCGATGTATGAAATAGGTAATAAGCACCTTATGCATAACAGTTTCTGATCAAACTGGTTCAATTATTCTTGGTGCATAGGAATTTAGGTAGCTGTAGTTTAATTGGAAACTAATTACAAGGGCGATGAATCAATAAATGGCCAAGTAACCTTGTTTATGCGTCGAAGAGCTAGCAAAACGAAATTGAATTGATCACTGCGAATGCTGGTTGTAACCGCAATACTCGGTACTCATGAGTACTGCAGTATCGCATTACAGCTGATATTTCCTAAACCAAGTGAGATTAATCGATCACCGCAGAGTATAATCTTGTTCAAAATGCAAGCGCCGTTCACAAGATGATCTGTGTTTTGAACAAAGTTATATTGCCAATCAGTTTGATGCAGTTTAAGCCAGCTAAAACCAGCTGAATCTAACTTTTTCACATTTTTTCTCATCGTCCTACGTATTATTCGATATTTTATTATCAGTTGCATTCTTCTTATCAATAGTTCATTATTCGTGTAAACTCAAATCTGGCAAAGCCGATTGACCAGCGTGAATTTATCTCGTATTCTCTATACTTTATTTATAATTTGGTGTTGTATCGACAACAAACAGTTGATCTTTGATGAGATGCATTGCGAATTGACCGTGTAATTTGAAATAGCGTAAATAATAGGGTTTCTAGACTTCGTTAGAATGATTTGATATTTATCAACTGCGGACTACTCTCGGTTCACTCACTGGCTCGTTCGCTCGCCGCTCCGCTCTCTATTTATAGTATAGTGCTGATTACAACGATTGAAACTCAATACGCTGCTGGATAATGTACTTCCTACTTACTTGGTACTGGGCAAAAGACATTCCAGTTCAAAGGATTGCCGCTTGTTGGCGATTTGTTGCTTTTTCTTATGTGACGACATTACCACGTACTTTCGTTACACATACAACACAATGTAATAAATTATCGAATTGCTACTAATACACGCTATACATCAGACTAAAAGGGTCTCTGAATGCTGTTTGAACATGATATGTAATGTTTTATTCAGTCTGTTTTTTTTTGTAGGTGTTGTTATTTTATTCGATTGCATTCAAGACATCGATATCATCGAGATCATTTCAGATTGATTTACGGAAATTCAGAAGTTTGTTTTTTTCCAGTTTTATTTTGCTTTGACGCTTTACAACTATAATTTTGAGCTTGAGAGTTCCATTTATTTGCTCAATCGTTTGATTGGCTCTTTCTTGGAAAGAAGGATATTCGTATTCAAACGGTCAATCAATCTTGAAATATTTTTCCTTTTGTTCCAATTGATTTTGAATTATTGACCCAGACAAAGCTACGCGAAAAAACAAAGTGTCGAATTCCATTTTTTAAACCGTCAAACTTTGCCTTTCTTAAGAGTAAAGACAGTGTAAATGTACACTAACTGTCACATTGACTCGTTCGTAAGTGATCTGCTGTTACATCAAAGAAGATGATGTGCGGCAGTTCGGTCAGTGTTTGTTGTTCATTTTTACAATGAAACACTCGAGTAGAAATACACTGTCATTTTTAATTAAATGAGTCGAAAACAAGTTCATTCTCCCCACAATCTCACTCGTGGATATAATTCTACTTTCTTTTGAAAAAAGAATCATAACGCAATACTTGTTTTTGTTTTCTTTCGAATTCTCTTTTGTGCGGAATTTCGTCGAAAAATCGTGTGTGTATAAACAACGCACGACAAAAATACTGCACACCATATGACTTTTTCAAAGTGTTTTTTTTTTCTTTCACTAAAAAATATTTTAAGCTTTTACTCGAATATGAACTCCGATACATTGTTTACCTTCGTTCGTTTCAGTGTGTTCTATAATTACTTGTATTTTTTTCTGCGTTCGTTTGACGCGAAAGACACTCGAGTTTTTTTTTGTTTGTTGTTAATTTTAGCCGTTTGATATGGCTAACGGAAAATTCAACAACTGTTTTTTGTTTGTCATAAGAAGTTTTTGAATTTCATTGCGATGCAAGGAATTTGTCAAGACTCGCATCGAAGAATTGTTAACGGCAATAAGGACACTTTAAAACAACAAAAGTTACCATTGGAAGAAACTAGGGCAGGTTTTGTTTTCACAAACACTGTTTAATAAACGCTATAAATTCCGTAAAGCGTTTAATTGACTTCGTTTTTCTGCTGCTGCTGCTGTTGCTGTTGCTGCTACTGATGGTGGTGCTGGTTTTCGAATGCGATTTTCCGTCGCAATGAACAAAATGCATTTTGCATCGCTTTATTTTCCATGACCATGATAAAATTAGGTTCATTATGTTATAAAACTTGCTCATTCGATGTGTTCGACTTCGGAGTTTGATAAAGTTGTTCCACATTGATTTGGGTTACCAAAGTGAGACACATCAGGATTAGAGAGAAGAAGAGGAACAGCCAAGGTAAGCAAATCAATAACGATTTGCGGTTTCTAACGTGTTATTCCCATTTTGTTTCACGAGAATTAAACTTGGGGGAAAATTTTTGATTGAATTTCCGACACAAGGCCATTGAAATTCACACCATATTTTCTCATTATATTTCTGATAATATTTTTTGCTTCCGACGTTTTTTTGCCTCTTTTGACAGGTTTTCTTCTTTCAATATTCTCCATTTGTCCCTTTCCAACTGTCTTTTTTCTTTGTCTTTTTTAATTCGTCTATTTTTAGTTGAGAGAACATGAGAGAAAACAAATATTTTATTTTCCTTTAACTTTTTTTACCCCATTTTCGTCGAGATTTTTTACTCTTCAAATTATTCCAAATACTCTTCCAAAAAAAGCCTTTAATTTAAAAGATTTCTCGCCAAAATTGGATGTGAACGATGCAAATCTATTTCGATAGAGTATTTCATACTGTTATGCCTGTACAAATGGATCAATTTCCGTTTGGACTTTGGCTACGTCACGGAAAAAAGAAGTCATCGTTCACGCAATCATAAAACGATCTCGATAAAATTAATTGCCAATCAATATTTGATGTCCGTTGCGAAGCTCATCATCAAAAGTGAATAATGAATAATCTTCCGTTCGTAATCAATCACATGAGAAATTGAATGAAAAATCACGAGAGCAACGTCAAAAGTTGATTGTTCCGTCGATGTTCAACACGCACGCACACAAAACATTATTCATTGGCTGTTAAATTCTTTGTTGTTCGCACAAATTGAGCATATGCAATTAGAGTAAACAATTGATAAAGCAGCCGGTCTGAATCACCACCGCCGACGACCAATTGCATCAAAATTTATGTACACAAACGGACAATTTACAATAAACAAAAGCAACAACGTCGAAACCAGAGAGATCAAGTGGTTGTGAGGAAAGTGTGAATGCTTCGGCCACTTGATTAAAACTGAATGAAGCGAACACACTGAATCGAATTGACTTTGTGTTTGCTTCGGAAGAGAGAACGAGTGTGTCTCGCTGTCAGACACGATAAATATATATGTGAATGTGTTTATTTTGTGTGCGTTTCGCTTATGTATATACCGATATCATCGTGGAACGCCACCGAGCGCGTATCTCGCGGTCGTAAAACGTGTGTGGGAAAGAGAAAACTAGGAAAGAACACATAAAAACCGAGCGCAAAAAAACCTATGACACACACGGATTTTGCACAGCTGATATGCTTATTGTAATGATATGCAAGCGAAGCATTGAGTATATAAAACGGCTGATTTCGGTAAGTAATGCCTCGCTGAGCCGCACAGTTAGTGGCCAATTTCACGGTTTTACACTATGGTGCGGCGGCTTTTTTGGGCACAGTTCAGCTGCTTGCTTTCAACGGTTGCAGATAAAAGAAGTAAATGTCAAAAATGGTAATGAAATCAAATGCAGCGATATGTAATGTTCAACAAAATGTTACCACAAAAGCTTGCCACATTCTTGAAGAGGGGGGGGGGGGGGCATGCGTATATCTATGTGTGGAAATGTCATTGGAAAAATCTTTCTGTGCGCATGAATCTTACTTTCCGTTGCCAGAACACGGGACAGCACCGAAACCGACAAGACCGAATAGACAGCTATCTATCCAGCATAGTGGACGTTCTATGCACACTCAAGCACATTGATACTGACAAAACGGTTGCTTGATTGTGTGCAGCATATGGAGTTTGTATGTATGTAAAATAGCATGTTGATAAGTTGAGACCTCGGCTGATTAATGCTATTGTTAGTCGGTTTAGGAGCCTACTTGGTGGTTGAGAGAGAGAGAGAGAGTAAAAAGAGAAAAAAACTTGCTCCACTTTTTTCCCACATGTACGAAGAAATTTGATTGCGCTTCTTCGGTGTAACTCTAAGTGGCTCGAAGGCTTACTGCTTCAATTTGAAGAGCTTCATATTTTTATCATCAAATTGGATTGGTCGCATGTAACGATATTGAAACAGTGCAATTTAAATGCCAATATTGTAACACGCAGTGTTACTTTCATACTGTGCGAAATGATATGAATTACACTGGAGACCATTAAGTGAAATGAAATCAATTCAACTAATGAAAAGTCCGTCAATTTATCTTTAGACAGAGACTTATCTTCGGAAGCGGAATACGGTTGGCTGTTGCTCATGGTGGGGCCGTTGTTCCATATTATTAATATAATTCTCTATTGCCATTTTCCATGCACAAGCAGACACGATCGATGCACGTGAGCATTACGGTTGGCAACAGTTTCCCTTCGATTTGACTAAAAATATCGTAAAATTACATATGCGAATAACAACGCAATGCTGCTGTCATGCCATGTAACATTCAATTGAAACAGGCTCACATGAAAATGGCCATAGCATCATTTTCCACTAAAAATAGACTGTTCGCTCAATTTCAAATGCATGGATTTAATTCGAAAAGTCTTATTACAATAATTCTTATTGAAATCAAAAAAAGGATTGAACGCAAAATGAAAGAGGCGAAAAAACAGACTGTCATTTACATTTTGATTACCCGGGCTCAGTGAGTCAGAAGCGATTTCCAATCGACATTTTTTGCCTCAATGGCTAGACACTATACAGTGATTGAAGCAACGACGGAAAATTATTATCGATTGAGCAACGAAGCACATAAAAAAAAACTTTAAGCTTCCGACCATGGTTATAATCGACCATGCACTGAATTCCGAGCTGAGTCGAATTTTTGACTCTGTCGTCGCGCATCGCGCGTTAAGATGCCGAAACGCGAGAATCATTCTTGCTTCACAAAACTGATTCAATTATCAATGTTAACAACAACTATTGTAGTGTAAATTGTACTTACCCAAATATTTGTCGACACAAATCGAAAGAAGTATGCAAAGAGATGAGAAACGGTATTCTTTGTATTGCTTTTGACAATCACTTAATTAGCTCTTCCTCTTCTTGAAGAGACTTGGTCGCATAAAGCGTAATTAATTTGATAATGATGATTATTGCTGCGTGAATGCGTCGCGATTCAAATGCATATCCAAAAACAACAACAACAACATCAATTTGGCCATGGTGTTTGTTTATTCACTTGTGTTTATCTATAAAATTCTGCTAAATGGCAGCAAACTCTTGAAACTAATCACTACGTGAAATTACGTCTCTAAGAAAGTCATTTGCTCGGTTGCGTTGTGAACGTCTCTGGAGTGGGATCTTTGATCAAATGGGCCAATAAATGATTATAGCGCTAAAAAATTAATAACATTGTAGCCAAGTTAATTTTCGTTGTTATTGTGTGAATAATTGAAACATTGTCAGTATTACGGCGTAATTCGGGCGATAGAACGAGAGAACGATAGCACAACCGCGACGAAAAAAAACCAACCCTTGCTGCTTTAAATTGCATTAGAGAAATAAATCAGATCGGAAATTGGAACAACCACTTGAGGCAACCACGACGACGACGACGATGGAAACGACAATGACGAGAAGATGACACACATACAAGCGCCTGAAAATGAGAACACTAGGCTCTAATTCAATGTTATTAAACACAAGTGTAATGCTTCGGTTTTAGTCATTTCAACAAGAGTGTGGTTTTTGAAATACACAAAAGCCATGACGAAGTACCGGGAAAAAAATGAAGAATAGACAGAGAGAGAGAGAGAGAGAGAGAGAAACGAATAACAATTCACTGTATATTGAGCACAGAAAATTTACAATGACACACTTTTCAATTGAATTCTAAAATGGAGCAGATCGGAGTGCGGTTGCCATAACGTCCAACAACGCCTTCTCATTCAATCATTCTTTGTACACCGCTACGGCTGCTACTGCTGCTGCTGCTACTGCTGCTACTGCTGCTACTGTTGCTACTGCTGTTGTTGTAATTCTGTTGCGCTGAGAGCCTTTTGTTTAACAAATTAATTTTCCACCAAATACAAATTGGTGTTTGCGTATGCCAGATTATTATACTTTCATTTGCAGTAAACACAGTGTTTTTTTCTTTTCGGTCAAAATAACAGGCTAACAAACAATTTCCCAAGATTATCATCAACGTCTATTCAAGCCCGATCAATACACGTTTCCACTCTCTAATTCCAAGAAGAGAAAAATACATGTCGTTTCTGTTTTTGTCCTCTAATCGACACGCAAAAAACACAGTATTTTTTTTAATAAAATGCGAATCTATTGACACTAGATTTATTCTTTGCTTCTCGGTATTTCACCAACTTTGACTCATTTGAACTTGCCCCAAACGGAAGCGCATATATTCTGGAATCGAATATGCACAAAACCGTATTGCTTTTGACTAAATCGATAGAAATCGTCTGTTTAAGTGTTCACTTAAATAACATTCAATGTCGACGCTCAAGCTTTGTTTAAGATGTCTTCATTTTCCCCATTCACCACCCATTCAACATATCAATGCTTCATCACTTTGTCTATATCACTCACTATTTCGAACGAAAAATCAGACATTCACGTTGAAATTCAAACAAAGACACTGAAAACTCTCATCAAAAATGCTCATTATTCGCTTATTTATTTATAAATGTCATAAACTTTTTCGATTCTCTTCTATATAGATATTTCTAACAGTCAACTAACACGCACTGATTTCTCATACGCTGTATGTGTTCATCGCGTCTCTGGGAATCGACGAGAAAATCGAAACTAGCAGCGAATGTGTGTAACGAATCACAAATAACATGCAGAGCTTTCCCTCTGTTAGCTTCAGCAAACAATTTTGTGCAATGGATAGATAACGGCATATATATATACAGCACAGTGAGAGACGGAGAGAGAAACGCATACATGCACAGTCAACAACACGAATGTCAAGTCAACAATATTCCATTATATGCACACATAGCGACTGAGAGGGATAATCTGACAAAAATATACGGTGTGTATTCCATCAAAATGCAATACATCGACATTTGGCGTTGTATGCGATTGCGCGCGCTTGCTCAATTCAATTGTTTTTGGTGGCGGTGTTTAATTTAATCACCGAATAAATCATTCGGCATAAAATTACATAGATTTTTCTCTTCTGATTATTGTTGGGCGAGTCTAAGCAACAAAACAACAGCCAAGACATTGTTGCTACGGCTAACATCGTAAAATGAAAATCAAAAATTTTAAGAGCAAAACAACAACAAATTCTTCTTATTACATCTCCTTTTATTAATGCTAATAAAAGTTCTATGTATCGGAGTATTAGATTTCCCCTTTTTTATGTTTCGTTCAAATGCGGTTTTTATGACTTTCTACGGCTCCCAGCGTAAATTAAAACCATTCCAGTGTCGATTGCAACGCCATCTGTCGGTGATTTTTCTTCTTCTTAGGTGTTGAACGCGAATATGGGGATGTTGATTGGAATGGGAATCGGAATGGAAATAGAATGGAAATGGAGAACAATTCGTTTTCTGTATATGGATCTCATTCGTAGGCTATTTGATATCAAATTTGCAGCTTTACTTAAGGGTTTTTCAAAATTTCATGATTTCGTAGAGAAGAGGGAAAAATGAACTTTTTTTGGGAAAACAAAAAGTTTTTTTTTTTAGAATTTTAACCATGAGGAGGCTGACTCTTTCAGTCACTCTCTTAAATTGCTCACATAAATGATGCGTTCGTTGCTCCATATTCACTGAAGTGAGAAAAACAATACTCAATTATTCATTTTCAACAGCTATAAAGTGCGTGTGATGCATTAAACATAAATTCGATCAATGGTATAATCGGCGATAGGAATATATCGTGCGCTTATTCGTGCAGAACATTCAAAT